TTTTTTTTTTTTTTTTTTTTAAGCTTCTGCAGCCTTCCAAAATTTCAATTTTTTTTAATCAAGTGGGATGACAGTAATATATACTTTTATACATTTTCTCTATGTGAAGCATTTATTACAGTTTGGCACATGGCTACATAAATAATAAAAATTACGTGCTGCACCATGAGGTGTGTTGTGTGTGGATCTGAAGAGTGTTTAAGGGAGTAAAGTGCTGTTACAAAACCCATACCAGCAGAAAGGCAAGAACTAATTTTGTATGGAATACTGACTGCATGGTCAGATTCTTAGAAAAGGTGATATAGATTTAATGAACTTCAGCAAAGATTTTATTTAAAAGCATTAGAGTATTTGTTTATTTTTGTGAATGTATGAGTGCTTGAATACCATGGTTTATGTATGGAGGGCAAGACAACTAACTGTAAGGAGTTATCTCCTCCTACCCTATGGGTCCTAAGCACTTTTACTTGCTGAGCCACCTCACTGGCCCACCATTTTCTAATGTCCAGATCTTAGCTCACCTTCTAGTTCTTTATCTTGGAACATGTTACAAACAGTTTTCATTGTAGCATTTGACCCTGTAATAGTTCTGTGTATTTTAACATCCACATGACATCTCAAATAGTAAGTGGTTATAACTTAACAGATTTATAGGTAGTTTTATTTGAAGTATAATATGTTATAGAAGTTAAAATGTAGGCAGTGTCATGATTTATTATTGTGTTTATGAAAGCCATCTGAAACCATGCAAGTACTTTAGAAAATATATTTGGATCTGGTTGCAGCATGATGGTTTTTTTCTTTCCAAGTTTTGTTTTAAATAGTGTTTATAAAATTAAGGACTGGAGAGATGGCTCAGTGGTTAAGAGCACTGTACTGTTCTTCCAGAGGTCCTAAGTTCAATTCCCAGCAACCACATGGTGGTTCACAACCACCTTGGATGAGATCTGGTGCCCCTCTGCTGGCATGCAGGCAGAAGAAGGTATACATAATAAATAGATAATGATTTAACAAAAAAATTAAAATTAAATTATAAAAAAAAAACAAAAAACCATGATACAGGTGTGGAAGTAAACACCTGCAGTCAAGACATGTGGGAAGCAGAGGCATACGAAAATCATCACTGTTAGCTAGAGGCCAACCACATAGTCATTCCAGACTACAAATTTGTTAATAGTCTAGTACGCTATTAAATATTTTTTCACTTTAAATTTTCTATTCATTTTACATACCAACCACTGTTTTCCCTCCCTCCCTCTCCTCCTTCTTTCCCACCCCAATCCATTCCTCAGAAAGGGCAAGGCCTCTCCCATGGAGAGTCATCAAAGCCTGGCAAATCAAGTTGAAGCAGGACCAAGCAATCCCCACCCACCCCACCCCTCGCACCCCCACACCCCTGCATCAAGGTTGAACAACGCATTCCACCATAGGAAATAGGCTCCAAAAAGCTAGCTCATGCACCAGAGATAGATGGTGGTCCCACTGCCAGGAGCTCCACAAACAGATCAAGCCACACTGCTGTCACCCATATGCAGAGGGCCCAGTTGGGTCACATTCAGGCTTCCCAGCTGTTTCTGTGGGTTTTCTCCCTTTATGATCCTGACCCCCTTGCTCATACAATCCCTCCTCCCTCTCCCACTGGACTCAGTGCTTGACTATGGATCTCTACATCTGCTTTCATCACTCACTGGATGAAGGTTCTATGATGATAATTAGGTATTCACCAATCAGGTTACAGGAGAAGCCCAGTTCAGGCACCCTCTCTCTACTATTGCTAGAAGTCCTAGCTGGGGCCATTATTGTGGATTCCTGGGAATTTCCCTAGCGCCTGGTTTCTCCCCAACCCCACTTCCATCAAGATGTCTCTTTCATTGTTCTCCCACTCCATCCCTCCCCCAACTTAGTTAAGCCCCTTCCTTTTACCACCCACCCCCACAGTTTCCCCAGGAGATCTCATCTTAATTATCTAGCAGCATATTTTATAAAACCCAGATTTGCATTTCGATAGGCTAATGACTACATGAAGGCACATGCTGTGATTGTGATGTTTTGTTAGGTCCCCCACAATTCAGTATTGTGCACAATAGTGTTTGTAAACATTTGTTGGATGCATGGATAAGGTTTTTAGCATACTTAGTAATAGAAACTTTTCTCTCATCAACGATGAGTACATTGTGTTCTTTTTTCTTTTTCTTTTTTTGTTTGTTTTATTGAGATAGGATCTCACTTTATAGCACAGTCTGCCCCATGTACTTTTTTTTGGGGGGGGGTTCGAGACAGGGTTTCTCTGTGGCTTTGGAGGCTGTCCTGGAACTAGCTCTGTAGACCAGGCTGGTCTCCAACTCACAGAGATCCACCCGCCTCTGCCTGCCCGAATGCTGGGATTAAAGGTGTGTACCACCAATGCCCGGCATGCCCATGTACTTTTCAGTGGTCTCAAAGTTGGAGCAGTCCACGTTAGTCTCCTCAGTGTTGTTGTAGGTGGAGTTTTGCTCTCCTGACCACCTGCTCCCAAATAAATGACTGGGAGTTTAAAAATATAAAAAAGAGGTGCAAGATGAGAAGTGAGAACAAGAGATACATTAACCATAGTTTTGTTCCAGTGTTGGAGGGGGAGAGCGGGGGAGAGAGGAAGGCAAGAGAGAGAAGAGAGCAAAGAGAACAGGGCGTGAGAATACAAGAGAAGAGAGTGTTTTTTTTTTTTTTAAGAATTTATTTATTTATTATGTATACAATATGCTGCTTCCATGTATATCTGCACACCAGAAGATGGCACCAGATCTCATAACAGATGGTTGTGAGCCACCATGTGGTTGCTGGGAATTGAACTCAGGACCTCTGGAAGAGCAGCCAGTCCTCTTAACCTCTGAGACATCTCTCCAGCCCGGGGTCTGTCTTTTAAAGGGGTCCTTTACACCTGCGTGTAGACATAGTTCCTGTGGAACCCTGGGCTGACCCGGGTACTGCCTGAGTGGATTCTGTTCAGCATAAGGCCTGAACCTTTCAGTAGGTGCTCCGCCAATAGCTCAGGCTTGTTACTAACTAACTAGCTTTTACAACTTAATCCATTTCTATTAATCTATTTGCTGCCCCAAGGCTTGTGGCTTTTACCTTGATCCCATTTTGTGTGTCTGACTCATTCTGGGTCTGACTGATGACCTCCCTAACTTCACCCTTCTCATGGTTCTCAGTTTGGCTTTCCCGCCCAACTTTATCCTGTTCAGTTATTGGCCAGTCGAATTGTTTATTAAGTCAATCATAGTGACATATATTCACACAGTATACAGAAGGATTATTTCACAGCAATTGAGCTTACAGTTCTCAGCTATCACACTTCACAGTATTAAACTTTCAATGAAATGTGAATTACTTGTAATTACTTTAAAAATAAGATGGAGTAGATATTTTTTCTATTTAATTACAGCTGAAATAATATTTGTTCCCATCTTTGTAAACATACTATTGATCATAATCAAATCATTAATAGTGTGTGATTATTTTACTAGTTACTTTTCTCATTTCCATAAAAACATCTGGCATGCCAGACATGGCAGCATACACCATTAATCCCAACACTGAGGAAACAGGCAAAGGTTGTCTTGCAAGTCTGAGGCCAGTGTGCACTACATAGTGAATCCCAGGCCATCCTGGGCACATAGCAAGACCTTGACCACCACCATCCCCTTATCCCCCCAATAAAAATAAAATAAAAATAAATTATTTGTAAAATTAAGTAATAGTTAAGATGTTTGAAAGACAGGATTTGTAGCTAATTGGTTGGGGTACTTGCCGAGCATGTGTAGGAACCTAGTTTAATCTCTTTAAAACAAAACAAAAAACATGTATTATAGGTTTTAGGTTGGGTTTTTTTTATAGTTTTAAAATTTTCTAAAGGGGCCAGCTAAGAGGACAAAGGGTCTTACTGCCAAGACCGACAACCATAGTTTAATCCTTGGGACCCATGCATTAGGAAAGAACTGATTCCTACAAGTTGTGTTCTGACTTCCATATGTGTGCCCTTCTCCCATGAAAAAATGAGATGTAAATTTGAAAATTTAAATATTTCTGTTTAGCTTTTATCTCTAAGCCAAAAACAAAGAATACATGAATGAGGAAATTTAACTATGTTTGGGATCTAGTTGATTGTAATTTTCTGGCCTTTAAATTTGATTTAAAAAAATTTGATATTTTAACCATCCTGTTCTAGCAATATACTATTTGGCAATGAAATGTAGGTCATACAATAAAAAAATTACCAGGATATAAAACCTTTAGCAATGTCCAAAATTTAAAAGAAAAATAGAACTGCATATAATCTCCTTTATCTTAATATTCCCACCATATTTGATAAAGTATTTAAAAGTAGTGGGGGTTTTTGGTTAAAGTTTGTTTTGTTTTGTGTGTGAGGCTTACTCAACTTTGTTAAGAGCTGAGTAAGGATGATCTCTCCAGTATTAGGGATTGAAGAGCTTTGTGCATCCTGGCTAAATTAGAAAAACAACCTTCTTTGTTGTTTAACTTGCATAAAAGCACATACATGAGAGTTATTACAACAGATCCATGTAGATCAAGAAATGGAATATTAATTTCCTTAAAAAGGGTTGTGAGGGCCAGGTGTTGTGACAGTCTTTAATCTCAGCACTTGGGAGACAGGCAGGAGAGGCAGGCCATTCTCTTCTATATAGAGAGACTTGATTTATGCTGTGTGTCTGTAGAGAATGAAGTCCTAATTCCAACCTTCTATAGACTTCAAAGGTCATGCATTGGGCAAGCTAATTCATCCTTTTTGGAAAAATCCTCCCCTCTAAAATGGGAGATGGGACTGATTATTTACCATAGCTTTGATTTTATAAAAATGTAAAAAGGTAGATTATTGTGATATTAATGTGATAATGGAAGGTTGTAGAGTCAAAATTAGACTTTTGATTTCTTTTCAACAGTTTAATTGAAATAAAAAAAAAAAACCCAGATTATTCTAACCTTTTTTTTTCTTTCTTTCTTTCTTTGTTTTCCAGGTTATATTTCACACTATGTGCTGACTGTATCTACAGAAGATATTTAAAAAAAAAAGATAAACTTTTTTCCAAGATTTTGATTCCAGTGGAATCTTTGCTTTAGTGTGTGTGTGTGTGTATGTGTGTGTGTATGTGTGTGTGTCTGTGTGTGTGTGTGTGTGTGTTAGTGTGTGTTAGTGAATTGTAACTCCAGAAGCAATGCCTGTACAAGCTCCACAATGGACGGATTTCCTTTCCTGCCCAATTTGCACTCAGACTTTCGACGAAACAATTCGAAAGCCCATCAGTTTGGGCTGTGGCCATACTGTCTGCAAAATGTGCCTGAATAAACTCCACCGTAAGGCTTGCCCATTTGACCAGACCACTATCAATACAGACATTGAGCTCCTCCCTGTGAACTCAGCATTACTGCAGCTAGTGGGTGCTCAGGTAAGATACTTAATACTAGTTATTGTCTTTAATTAACTATCTTTAGTTAATATTGTCTGTGTTTGGGTGTATTTATTTTAATGTTGCATACAGAAATATTTATAGAAATGTATATGCCTCAATTATTTGTGTATTTCCTTTCTCTATAAGCCAAGATAATCTTAAGGGCATCACAGTTCCAATAGCAATGTAGATACCTCATGTTTAGATGTTGGTTTCTAGACAATTCTCGTTGGGAGAAATGGTTAGTTTTCATGGGCTGGGACAGCAAGTACTCACATAAGCCTGGAGTATCTTATTTAAGTATCCAAACAAAGTGATGGTATCATGTCAAAAGCATACCAGAGCTGGTTGACAGAAGGGTTTGAGCAAAATAGTCATGAATTATAACAAAGTATAAAAAAAGAATCAGTGACTCTATGCAGGTAAAATTGAAATAGAATATACAGCTATAGCTTTACTTAGGGGTTCATAATTGTGTTTATTTTTGTTTTGTTTTGTTGGTTTTGCACCCGTGATTTCATTTCATTTAGGAAATTTAAAGTCGTGTCCCAGAGCCCTGATTATTTTCTTTCCTTTCTTGGCTTTTAAAAAGCTTATTTTCTCCGGTGTTGTGGTGCATGTCTTTGTTCATAACACTGGGGAGACAGGCAAGTGAATCTCTTGATAAGTTTCAGGGAAGCAGGGTTACAATAGTGATACCTTGTCTAAAAACAAAACAAACAACAACAAAGTACTTTATTCTAATTTATGTAACTGCACTATGTGTCAAGATACCCTTGGAAGCCAGAAGAGGGTATTGGATCTCCTGATGCTGGAGTTATAGGTAATTGTGAGCTACCTAATGTAGGTGCTAGGAATTGAATTTGTGTCCTCTGGAATAGCAACAAATGCTCTTGGCTGCTGAGCCATCTCTCCAGCCCTTTAAAAAGTTACTAAATATATCCGATTGGGAAGTGTCCATGTAACTACCAGTTTGCACAGTAACTCTTTTTTAAAGATAAAGCCATAAGGAAGGACTGCATAGACCTTCCTTACCTTCCTTAAATATTTATGTAGCATATTCAAGTGAGTTTAATGGTGTTTGCAAAAAGGGGAGAAAACTGGGAAGAAAACATAGTAAGAGGTGACTAAAAAAAGCTTTTTCCTAACTGCATGCACATAAGACTTAGGTCATGATAAAGAATCATAAACAGACTCTCAGGAACAACCATACTGACAGCATTTTAAAATAAGATTTTTAATTAGATATTTTTAAAAATGAAAGAAAATCAGCTACTCAAGAAGGAAGAATACATTCAGAGACTCTTCAAGTTTTCTTTTTAACTTTTTTTTTAATTTATTAATTTTTATTTTATATGCATTGGTGCTTTTCCATGGGTGTTAGGTCCTATGGAAATGGAATTACAGACAGTTGTGAGTGTCATGTGGGTGCTGGGAATTGAACCCAGGTCCTCTGAAAGAGCAGTCAGTGCTCTTAACCATTGAGCCCTCTCTCCAGCCCCCAAATTTTCTGTAAGTGTAAAATTATCCCCAAATAAGTTTAGTGCTTAGTAAGACTGGAATTAATATGATTTTCAGTTGACTACTGTTTTATCAGTCCTCAGGAAGTCTGGTTTTTTACTTATGTGATATTGTTGTGAATGATCTTGTGGGGTTTTCTGTTTTTTTTTTTTAAACCATGTTTTCTTTTTGATTACACCTTTATTTAAAATTGTATTTTTGTTTATTGTTTTGTTTTTTTAGGGGGGCAAATGGAGGTAAGTGGTAGAGGATGGACTTCCTCCTTCCACTGCATGGGTCCTGGAAATTGAGGTCAGGTCTTCAAGCTTGGAGGCAAGCACCTTCATCCTTTTAAGCTATCTTGATGACTCTTTATTACAGTTCTGAAAAAAATACTTAATCTATGACTTTTTCAGTTGTTCGTTTAAGTAGCACTTGATAAAGAGTGGTTTTGGGGGCTTGTGAAATGGCTCAGTGGTTAAGAGCACTGACTGCTCTTTCAGCGGACCTCGGTTCAATTCCGTGCACCCACATGGCACTCACAACTGTCTGTAATTCCAGTCCCAGGGGACCTGACACCTGTGGCAAAGCACAGATAAAATAAAATAAAAAAAAAGAATGGTTTTGACAGTCATATACAAATATTAATGTTGGAGAAATCTGGCAAATGCTGTCTTAGCCAGGTGAACTGGGTTAATGTGAACAGAAATAAGTCATATTAATAGTAGATCCTTGGTATGATGTGATGAAAATGGCATTTTTTTTTCTCTGTGGACTTAATGCCAAAAGTATCTAGCCGCAGACTCTTTATGAGAGTCAAAAGTGTATACTGTCAAAAGTCAGTATACACCATGCATTACCAGTACTGTGAAACTAAAAATCTCAAAACATAGGAAGTACTGGAAAAGTGTCAAAACTTCTGGAGTCTTACAAAAAGTAATATATTAGATATTCTGGATGAGATTTTGTAACACAGGAAGGCTATTAGACGAAAGTAAGGCATTCTGAGTAAAATCAGGGTATTTTACCATGTATTTTAAATACAAGGAATGAAGAGTCAAGGGGAGTGTATATAATATCACCTCAAGAAGACATTTAGCGAGGAACACTTAGACAGAAAGTGATACCCTTCTCATAAAAGCCATTGAATTTTAGAATTTGAAATTTTTTTTCAAGACAGGGTTTCTCTGTGTAAGAGCCCTGGCTATCCTGGAACTCAATTTGTAGACCAGGCTGGCCACTACCACCTGGCCTAGAATCTGAATCTTTCATACCAAAATATTTTTAAAAAGTTCATGCTGGTACTTGTGTTTTCATCAGAATATTCTCCTAAAGGACATTGTAGTTGAGTGGGAGAATATTTCCTAGGCCTCACCCTTATCATAAAAATCTTTCCAGGTATAAATGTTGTGACTCAGATAACTTTGATCTTGAGTAATATATTTGGCCCTGAAAACATGAGTTTTCCTTAGGAAATACTGATTTGGATGACATGGTAGCCACTCCTGCACTGCTTCCAGTTGGTTGTTCTACTTCTTTGTTGTCTAAGCTCCCTCTAGTGGCACAAAAACATCACTACTACTTAAATTATTAAATTCCTTTTCCCTACATAAAGCCATTCAGCTTCATGAAAAACAAAGACCCGTGGCCAATCCATCAAATTTTACAGATTAGGGACTAGAGAGAGTTAAGTAGTTAAGGGTGCTTGCTGCCAAACTGAGTTTCCAGATCCTACATCAGTCACCTCTGCACATAGTCACCAGTAACTCCAGCTACAAGAGGTCCAGTGCCTTCATCTGGCGTGCATACTCACAGACACATCCACATAAGGGAAAACAAAGTTTAAATATTTAAAAAATTAACTTTTTCATTTTGATGTGTGATGCTTGTTTGCAAGTTCTTTATCATAAAGCGTTAATAAATGTTTAAATTATGAACAGCTTAATCCAAGGTATTTAGCTTTGGTATTGTCTACAATATCAAGTTTTTTCAGCTTTGGTTTTGCTATCTGCATGTCTAGTTTAAGCATTTTGTGTTCTATTTCTGGAGATTCTAACCTCTTCATCCTGTATACCATTTGTAAAACTATTAACAAGATAGAATATAAAAATTCTGGACTATATAATCATAAGTCTAATGGGGAACTGTATATAATCACTAGAAGATACTCATTTACGCAAAAGTCTTTTATGTGACATAAAGTTGAAAATGCTAATGCTTTGGTTCTCTAGGATCATAGTTTAGTGGAGGCAGATGTGACTAATGCTAGCATCTAGTGGCACTAATAGCCTTTACTGGGCTTGTGCTCAGAAGCAGATGCAGATACAGATATAGAGAAGCCCAGAGTTCAGGTAGAAGCCAGCAAAGTTCTAGAGATGGGTCAGAGAAAAACAGTCCCACAAAGTATGACCATCTTCTCTAATTCCATTCATGATCAGCATAAAATTTGATTTCTTCTCATACACCTCTGGCTGTTGCCTCAATTCTGTAACAACTACAATTTTTTTTTAAGTATTGCTTTTAAGCCTCTATGATAGCTTGTTTTGTGGGGAAGACAACACTGGAATAGGTTAGACTTCTTTGCTAGAGCGAGCTCAAATACATCAGATAGTTCTGTTTGTCTTTTACAGAGTATTGCTTGCACTTTAGGATTTTTGTTTGGGTGTGTTCTCCCTTTTACCATGTGGTTCTTAGTGATCCACATGTGGGTCTTACCTTACCAGGCTTGTGAGTAAATCTCTTCACTAAGTGAGCCATCACTGGGCCTCTTTTCAAAAAAAAAAAAAACTTTTTAAATGGTAGGTGATCCAACTGGGCAGTTCCCAAAAAAATAGACATAGCTACAGTAGGCAAATAAAAAATTATAACAGAACAACCTTAGCCCTTGCGAAAATTCAAATATAAATCACAATGAGGTGGGCGTGGATGGGAAGCAAATGGGGGAAAGGGAGGTATTGAAGGGAAAGAACAGAGTTTCAGACAGTGTGCTTAAGTGATGTGTACGCTAGGTGCTAGCTGCAGTTCATGTGTATTCTCAAGTTGCTGAACGGATTTTTTTATTTTGAGACTATGTAACCTTGGCTGCCCTGGAACTTGCTATATAGACGAGGCTGACCTTGAACTCAGAGATCTGCCTACATCTGTAAAGTACTTTCCTTGTAAGCATGGAATCTTGAGTTTAATTCCTACAGATAGAAATGGGTATGGAGGCTAGAGAGATGACCCAGTGGTTAAAGCACTGATTGGTCTTTCAGGGGACCTAAGTTTGATTCCTAGCACGCACATGGCAGCTCACAGCCAAACTTATTTTACACATGTGATACACGGGCATATATGCAGGCAAAACACCAATACATGTTAAATAAATATTTCGAAGAGAAGTGAATATGGTAGCACACAGTTAGAATCTCAAGGCTGCAGATTTGTTGGGAAGTTAGTCTAGCCTACCTGACAAGTTCTAGACCACTGAGGTTTCCCTCTGGTCTCTGTACACATCTATCAAAAGAAGAAAGAAAGGAAGGGTACATAGTACAACCTGGTTGACCGTTGACCCTTGAATACATGATGCCGTTATATCTGATGGTACACTCCTTTAATCCCGGTACTACAAAGTCAGCCAGCCTACATAACAAGTTCCAGGTCACCCAAGGCTATGCAATTGAGACCTTAGGGGGGGTGGAGGGGGGGCATAAAATGTATTTGTGTGTGTGGAAAATTTTCAGTTAATTATGTAGTATTTGAATTCTCTTTTAATAAGGCTGCTGTGGAAAAATAATGGATGTGTATATACAAGAAAAAAAATTGAAAGCATTTAGCAAGTTTAGTCATTTTCATGAAGCAAGTGCCAGGACTATAGGTAGGTAAATTGTACTCAATAAAGCATTTAATAAATTAATGAAATACTCAAAACTTTTCTTTTGGCCTCTAGATCCCTGAGCAACAGCCCATTACTTTGTGTAGTGGGGTTGAAGATACAAAGCATTATGAGGAAGCCAAGAAATGTGTAGAAGAATTAGCGTTGTACCTGAAACCACTCAGCAGTGCTAGAGGTAAATGTAATTATAAAACCCATGCTAAATAGTTTGTTTTCTGAAACAGGGTCTCACATTTGTAGCCGTGGTTTGCCTGGAACACTCAATGTAGACCAGGCTGGTCACATTCACAGTGGCAGAGCTCCACCTGCCACTACTTCTCAAGTGCTGAGATTAAAGTTGTCTCCCACCCCACCTGACCAAATATCTGTTAAGGATACTTCTATAACCATAAAAATTGTGTGCTATAAATGAATATTGATAGATGAAACCTTCTTTCTCTCTTCCCTTCCTCACTCCCTCTTCTCTTGCAGCACTCTTCCCTACTTAGTTTTCAGTGCTAGGCAAGTATTCTACCGCTGAGCTATTCTACCTAGTCAATGCTAATGAAATGTATTTATTCATTGTAAACCGAACCTACTTCATGCTAAATGATATTATAAACTTCATAAAATAAAGTAGTACTAAATCTAGAGTTTATATGATGTTGGAAATTTGAATGGCTATAGAAATGACTACATATAATAGTGATTTAGAAGGGCTTTGCCTCTTTTTGACAGTTTTTTCCCACCTTTGGAGACAGCTTGTCATTTAGCCCAGATTGGCTTTAAAGTTGCTTTGTAGCCAAGCATGACTTTGAACTTCTGATCCTCCTGTTCTACCTCCTAGGTGCTGGAGATTACTAGTTTATGGAGTACTGGGAATTAAGCCCAGGTGTTATACACACTAGGCAGCTACATTTCCAGCTCTTATTGATAACTCTGAATAATCTATCTTTGTCTAGTTTTAGGTTTTATTTATAGAAAATGTGGTGAGAAAATGGAAGTTGTCATTACCTACCAGAAATTCCCTGCTTATTGTTTAACTATTCAGTAAGATTAACCACTGTGAAACAATATACCAGATTGTTAGGAATCAGTATTTAGGTCTTGATTTAATTGTTAATGCTTTCTGTCAGTTTTTCTTTTATGATTAAAATGAGCTATAGTATTTTGAATGTCATAATGAATGATACCTACATACATTTACTTTACTTTTTTTGTTTTTTTGTTTTTGTTTGTTTGTTTTTTTTTCGAGACAGGGTTTCTCTTGGAGGCTATCCTAGATCTAGCTCTTGTAGACCAGGCTGGTCTCGAACTCACAGAGATCTGCCTCTGCCTGCTGATTGCTGGGATTTCAGGGGTGCTCCACAACCGCCTAGCCCATTTGCTTTACTTTTAAATAATAGTTTTGTATAGCTTAATCATTCATTCATTCATTCATTCATTTGATTAGGGTTTTTGTTTGTAACCCTGGCTCCCTTAGAACTTGCTCTGTAGACCAGACTGGCCTCAAACTCAGAGATCTGTCTGCCTCTGCCTCCTAAGTGCTAGGATTAAAGGCATGGGCACCAAACAGTTGGCTTACTGTTTACTTTAAATACTCTACTGGGACCAAGAACTAGTCACAGATCTACAAGTCAACTACTCTAGATGAGCTCCTTGATCGTAAAATTGCCCAGTAAACCTAGAAATGGCTTCTTTGTTCTCCTCTGCAGGAGTGGGTCTAAACAGCACTACTCAGAGTGTTCTGAGTCGCCCAATGCAGAGGAAACTTGTGACTCTAGTCCACTGCCAGCTAGTGGAAGAAGAAGGCAGGATCCGTGCTATGAGGGCTGCTCGATCTTTAGGTGAACGCACAGTTACAGAGCTCATTCTCCAGCACCAAAATCCTCAGCAACTCTCCTCGAATCTCTGGGCAGCAGTCAGAGCTAGGGGCTGCCAGTTCCTTGGACCAGGTATGTAATTAAAGTTTGGTTGTTGCTGTTGGCTGACTACTCCCACCCTTACACTTACAAGGTATTCTAACAGTATAGGATTAAAAACCCTTAAGTAATGTACAAACCCTCATCTTTTGTTAAATTCTGTTATTGAGTACCATTCCATTGATAATCTTGACTTGAATTTTCAGAGAATTCTCAGATTTTTCTCTAGATAACAAAAGTTTTATTCATTTTGAAATGTTTTTCTCTATATTAATCATTTTTTAAAGATTTTATTTATTATGTATACAACATTCTGCACACCAGAAGAGGGCACCAGATCTCACAAGGGATGGTTGGAGCCACCATGTGGTTGCTGGGAATTGAACTCAGGATCTCTGGAAGAGCAGTCGGTGCTCTTAACCTCTGAGCCATCTCTCCAGCCCTCTCTATATTAATCATTTATCTACTTAATAAAATACATAATAAGGATGGATTTGCCCAAAAGCATGGCTTAAATATGTAATTCTAAGTACTTTTTTTTTTTTTTTTTAATTTATTTATTTTGTATACAGTGTTCTGTCTGCATGTATCCCTGCATGCCAGAAGAGGGCACCAGATCTCATTACAGATGTTTGTGAGCCATCATGTGGTTGCTGGGAATTGAACTCAGGACCTTTGGAAGAGCAGTCAGTGCTCTTAACCTCTGAGCCATCTCTATAGCCCTCTAAGTACATTGTATTGCTTGACTTTTTGTTGTTTTTGTTTGAGACAGCTTTTTGCTGTGTAGCTCTGGCTGTCCTGGAACTCAGACTCAGCTGGCCTCAAGATGTGCCCCACCATTCCTGGCTCATAGTATTGGTTGTTAATTGCATGGTATTATGTTGCTCTTCAGATAATGGATTTATGTCATCTTTGCTCATAATACACTTTGATCATTTTTCCTAGCAATGCAGGAGGAAGCTCTGAAACTTGTCTTGCTAGCTTTGGAAGATGGTTCTGCTTTGTCACGGAAAGTGTTGGTTCTCTTTGTGGTGCAAAGACTGGAGCCTCGTTTTCCTCAAGCCTCTAAAACCAGCATTGGCCATGTTGTTCAGCTCCTTTACAGAGCCTCCTGCTTCAAGGTATGAACCTAAACTCCAGTTCAGTTTGGGATAGTGCCCTTTCTCCAGACTTAAACATTGAACTTGAACTTTAATAAAAATTTTCTGTGCTTTTCAGAAAGTATCAGCATTTTTTCCTTTTTTAAAGATGGCAGATTGTATAATACTTTAGTTAAATATTATTGTATTTCATTTGTTTGGTTTGTCTTTTTGCACTGGTGGGGATTGAAACCAGAGCCTTGCATATGTTAGACAAGTACTCTGTTATTGAAACTCAGCCCCAACCCTTAAATTTAGATGAAGAGACTAATCTGTTATTTCCCCGTCTTAGTTAAGGTTTCTATGGCAATGATAACACACAATGACCAAAAGCAACTTGGGAGGAAAGGGTTTATTTTTCGTGTACTTACACACCACAGTCTGTCATTTAGGAATTGAAACAGAGTTCATGGAGAAGTGCTTACTGCCTTACAGCACCCAAGACTAGCAGCCCAAGGGGTGGCACTGTTCACAGTGAGTTAGGTCCTCCATGGTAATCATTGATCAAGTTAATGCACCAAAAGCTTGACTACATACTCACACAAGTTTAGTGGGAGCTTTTTTTTTGGAAGTTCTATCTTGTGTCTAGTTGACATAAATCTGGCCGGCACACCAAACAAGACTGTAAAGCTTGTTCTTAGTTGGATGGTGGTATCCACATACCTTTTAATTGTAGCAATTGGGAGGCAGAGGCAGGCCGATCTCTGTGAGTTCAAAGCCAACCTAGTTTACAGAGTGAGGTCCAGGACAGCCCAGGGGTACAGAGTGAAACCCTGTCTCAGATAAAGAAATATCTATGACTGGATGTGGTGTTGCTAGTCTTTAATCCCATCACTTGGAGGGAGCAGAGGCAGGCAGGTCTTTGTGAGTTCCAGGACAGCCAGAGCTACATAGTGAGAACCTGTGTTGTGTATTTGTTTTGCTCTTTTGACTTTTTGGGGGGCCCACCACCCAGCTCCCACATAAACCATACTCAGAATCTTATTATTACTTATGAATGCTCAGCCTTAGCTTGGCTTGTTGCTAGCCAGCTTTCTTAAATTATTAAATTATGCCTCTGGGCTTTTGCCTTTTCAGTAAATCTTTCACTCTTAATCTGTGGGTGGCTGGGTGGCAAGATGGCTAGCCTCTGACATTCTCCTCCCCTTGTTCTCTTGTCCTTCTATTTCTACTCTCTGCCTTCCAGCCTTGCCTATCCTTGCTCCTGCCTCACTATTGGCCATTTAGCTCTTTATTAGACTATCAGGTGTTTAAGCAGGCACAATAACACAGCTTCACAGAGTTAAACAAATGCTGCATAAACAAAAGTCACACATCTTAAAATAATATTCTACCACAAACATGCCTTTAAAAAGGGTAAAATTTTGACATCTACAATGGAAGATGTTTTATATGCAGGATGGTGTATTCCGCTTTAATCTTGCCTTTGCTGCTAAAAGAAAGTTGTTATTTTGATATTTTTTGTTGGGACAATGGCTCAGGGGTAGTCTTGGGACCCACATAAAGAAAAGAGCTGATTAAATTACAATTATTTTTTTGTCTGCATGTGTTTATATAAAGTATGAGACTTGTGTTTGTTAGTAGATTTTTGTATGTCTATTTAGGTCACCAAACGTGATGAAGACTCTTCTTTGATGCAGCTGAAAGAAGAATTCAGGACTTATGAAGCTCTGCGACGAGAACATGACTCCCAGATAGTGCAAATTGCTATGGAAGCAGGCTTAAGGATTGCACCAGACCAGTGGTCCTCTTTGCTTTATGGAGACCAGTCTCACAAATCTCATATGCAGTCCATTATTGACAAGGTGGGATTTTTTTCTTTTTCCCCTCCTAGACTGGGTTTCTCTGTGTGGCTTTGGAGCCTATCTTGGCACTTGCTTTGTACACTATGCTGGACTCGAACTCACAGAGATCCTTCTGCCTCTGCCTCCCAAGCGCTGGGATTAAAGGCGTTTACCACCACTGCCTGACTTCAAGGTAGGGTTTGTATTGTTCCTTATTTCTTAAATAATTAGGAGTTTTTCTAAGTTAATTATTTTGTAATTTATTTTACTTAACCAATGAATATTAATATGAATAATATATATTAGGCTTCTGTAAATGAGATTCAGTGTGGCTCAGTATTGTGTCATAACAAATTGTCAGAATGACAATTTGGGTTAGTGTTGCAGTGCTTCAACCAGTGTCCTCCCATGTTCCCTGTCATTACCGCTCTTCTTTGTTTATTGCTCTCTTGAATCTTGATCACTGTAATAGTTGCAGCATATTTATAGATTTATTTTTATTTTATGTGTATTGCTGTTTGCATACATGTATGCCTGTGCTTCAACTTGTGCCTGGTACCTGAAGAAGCCAGAAGAGGGCTTTGGATTTCATGGAACTGGAGTTACAGATAGTTGTGAGCTATCACCTGGGTTCCATTTCTTCAGTTTGTGGGGCTTTGAAAGCTCTGATCTCCACCCTGACTTCCAGCCAGTAGCAGTGATTCTTTCCTTCTCCTGAAGTGCCAAGCATGTTTCAGCAACCCTGAACCTGCCAGTAATGGTCAAGCAGTTTCACAGGCAGAGCTGTGTAAGGAAGAAGGACCATGGTGTGCTCCCAAGTTCCAAGAGGCTGCTATTTGAACTTAAATTTTTAACTTAATTAATTTATGTTTAAGTAACCAAACATTACTAAGTCTGTCATAATGTAAAGTACAAATTGAGAATTTATTAAAAATAACAATGCAGAGGCAGGCAGATCTCTGAGTTCAAGGCCAGCCTGGTCTACAGAGTTGAGTTCCAGGACAGCCAAGGCTACATAGAGGAACCTTGTCTTAAAAAAACAAACAACAACAAAAAAAGAAAGACATTAGTCATGATGAAAAACTTGGAAAAAGAAACATGAGCTAACAATTCACAAAGAAAATGCATTAGCATATCTAGTTTAGTCTCAGTGATTAAAGAGTATATATCTAAATCTGGACCTAGTGGTAGGTGCCTCATTTTCATCATGTAGGAAGATCAAGACTACACATTCAAAACAGTGATTAAAATACATATTTGATTGAGTTTGTGGTTTTTAGAGGCAGGGTTTCTCTGTAGCCCTGGCTGTCCTGGAACTCGCTCTATGTGGACCAGACTGGCCTGGAACTCAAGAGATTTGCTCACAACTACCTCCCGAGTGTTGGGGTTAAAGGCATGCTCCACTATGCCTGGCTGAGTTTTATTTTTGTTTTGTTTTTCAAGACAGGGTTTCTCTGTGTAGTTTTGTAGCCAGTCCTGGGACTCTCGCTCTCTCTCTCTCTCTCTCTCTCTCTCTCTCTCTCTCTCTCTCTTTTTTCCTCTTTTGGGTTTTTTTGTTTTGTTTTGGAGACAGGGTTTCTCTGTGTAGCTTTGGAGCCTATCCTGGCACTTGCTCTGGAGACCAGGCTGGCCTCGAACTCAGAGATCCGCCTGCCTCTGCCTCCCGAGTGCTGGGATTAAAGGTGTGGGCCACCACCACCCAATCATGCCAGGATTCTAATGGTAGTTTGTTAATTCCTTTGGGTTTTTTTTTTTTTTTAAATGTATGCTTTTGAAATGACCTTTCACAGAATGACCTTTTGAGAGAGAAATTAGCTGCCAAAAGAGGTAAATTGTAACAAGAAAAATTAAAGACCCAGGGACAGATATTGGGATTCAAGCTTCTAGCTAAAGACCAAAGAAGCTAAGCAGCCAAGACAGTAGATCTTACCTCTACCAAGCTGAAAGGGCAATCCTGTCTCCATGAATCCTCAGAGGCAAAAGCTCTGAATTCCTGTCTCTTCCTGCTTATATTCTGCCCAGACATTTCCTCCTGTCTCTGCCTCCCTAGTGCTGGGATTAAAGGTGTGTGATCCTAAATGCTGAGATGAAAGGCGTGAGCTCTGTTACTCTTCACTCTTGTGTAGGCCAGAGTGGCCTTGAGCTCAGATCCTTCTAGTCTCCCTACCATTGCACCATTTAGCTTCTTTTGCTAGCTAGTGTGGCTGGCTTTGCTTTCTTGTACTTCAGGCAATCTTTATTAAGTCATAAATAATATATCACCAAACTAAATGTTTTCAAGTAAGAACTCATAGTTACTGTTACAAAGTCAGCATTTTCCCAGTTAAAAGTCCTATATACATGATCAGCAGAGGGTAGTTTGATTATATGTTTTAGTTTTAGAGAAATATACAACCTTCAAGAATCCCAAACTAAATCAGAATTTTTTGAAATATTTATTCTTTGATCATTTCATCTTGATCATATCTATTCCAACTGCCCTTTCTCATTTTTCTATCCTCCCCCATGTACATCTCTGAAGAAAAAAATAACCCTCTCTTCTCCAGAAGCGATCAACTGCCAAAAACTTCTCAGTTAGGGTGGAGCCTCCCTGACATACTAGAATGATGACTTGCTTGATCTTTGTGCAGGGAACCATAGCTATGAGTTCATGAATATAAGGCAGTTTACAGCTCTCTCCTCCAGCTTTTACAGTTTTTGCATCCCTTCTCTGATATTCCTTCGGTGGTGGTGTGACAGACATGTGCCTTTAGGTCTGAATAGAAAGAACTGCTGGCCATGCAGAGAGAAGCGTCTCTGAGCAAGGTTGAGAAAAGCATTCATTGATATGTAGGTATAAACAAAAATATTAAGGCAGTTTGTTGACATATCCATCTAGCAAAACAAGAGTAGGTTTGCCCATAGGCCCTGTGACCTCCTTGGCCATGGCTTTTTGACAGGTTTACAATACCAGATGTGGAGCAGGCTTATATTCTAGTTTAATAGGCCTATTGGTTTAACCCAGTAACCTTCATGCCACATTGCATTGATAGGCACCTCTGGAATTACAGGTTAACATGCAGGGTCCATTGCTGGGTGAGACTATTGTTGATTGTCAACCCCAGCAGCCGGCATAGAGCTATAAAGCCCTATCACAGCTAGCTAGCCAGGAGGGACGAAGGAGCCAGGTTAGTTCCAGTTTGATGTCCTGCAATCAAAGTATAACAGGATTTTATTTTTCAGCTGTCCTACTTAGCTGGACTACTTAATAGATGAAATTCAGTTTGTACCCTTTATACATTTAATGTCATGATCTTTGGTCTTAAGAACTTTGAACTCATTCAGTATGACTGTGAGTAGTCATTGGCATTATTCTATCATCTGACATTATTTCTAGATTATACTTCCAATTTCAGTATTTGGAAGGACTAAAGGTTTTCATATTTGAAGTATGTGATAGCAGAGGAAACATAGTATTGTGCAGTGTACTGAGCTGTGGATAGAGAGAAAGATCTTGTTTAGGTAGCAGGTAATTCAGTTGGTCTGGCCAAAGCATAGGTTAAGTGGATAGATACAAACTAACATTAATAAGTTGTAGAAAGGTGGCGCACGCCTTTAATCCCAGCACTCGGGAGGCAGAGGCAGGCGTATCTTTGTGAGTTCGAGGCCAGCCTGGTCTCCAGGATAGGTCCAAAGCTACACAGAGAAACCCTGTCTCGAAAAACCAAAAAAAAGAAAGAAAGAAAGAAATGGAGGTGTGAATAAACTATGTTTTAAAAAGATCATTGATATTTTAAATGAGAAATTAATGTTTCTTTTCTTATTGTTTTAAGTTGCAGACCCCTGCCTCTTTTGCACAGAGTGTTCAGGAGCTAACTATTGCTCTCCAGCGGACTGGAGACCCAGCAAACTTGAACCGACTAAGACCCCACTTGGAGCTACTAGCAAATATTGACCCTAGTCCAGGTAAAGCCAACAGAAATTAATGGACTATTTATGTGTACCTCAGTATTGCTTGGTGATTTTTCAATTATCTTTGTTATATTCCTCTAAAGTTTCCCAGAGTAGTTTTTCCCACATATTTTCAGCTGTATTTTAGGTTTTGCCCCAGATAATATCTTCTTTATCTCATTAATTGGCCTCAACTAAAATTCATTCAGTACATTTTACTTCACTAATAGCTCTCCATAATAATCTTGCCACATTTACCCTTTTCACATCTTTGTCACAACTTGTTTTCTCAGCTTTCCATTATCTCATCTTCTCATAATACCTTGCTCCACTAATGTCTACAGCAATACCACCCTGAACACTCCTGATCTTGTCTGATCTCGAAAGCTAAGCAGGGTGGGGCCTGGTTAGTACTTGGATGGGAGACCTTGTTCCAATAATTATTCTCTTTCATACCTTTACTTGGGCATTCCTTTCTCACCCCCTCCTTGGCCTGAAAATGTACCCAATAAACAGTACCTGAACAGTATCTCAGCATTTACTTCTCCTCCTCTTCCTCCTCCTCCTCCTCTTCTTCCTCAACAGTCTTATATAGAATTCATCTATGAAAATGTCTTCTCACTTCCTTTTGTGTATTTGTTAGGATGTGTAGTGTTATGCATGAACATGTGTGTGTTTGGTGGCAGTTTAAGAGAGGGTTTATTTTAGCTCACAGCTCAAAGTACAAGCTACTATGTCATAGAAATGAAGAGCTTGAAGCAGCTGCTCATACCACATTTACAATCAGGAAACAGAGGGATGAATGCAAGCTATTTCTTAGTTTACTTTCTCCATTTTATATAATCCATGATCCACCTAGGGAATGGTCTTGCCACAGTAAAGGTGGGTCTTTCTACATAAGTTAACATAAAACAATCCATCACAGGCACACCCAGAGACCCATGTCTCAGGTGATTCCTGGTCCTTTTAAGTTGATACCACTAACCATCTCTGACGAGTGTCTCAAAGCTCTATAATGATTACTTGATTGATTCAAAGTGCTGATAATACTTCTTCATTGGTTTAATATTGGATAAAACATTGAATAGATTTTGTTTAATTTTTAATTTTATAGATGCCCCTCCTCCAACATGGGAACAACTAGAAAATGGCCTGGTTGCTGTACGTACAGTAGTACATGGACTAGTAGATTATATTCAGAACCACAGCAAAAAAGGAGCAGACCAACAGCAGGTAAGGGTTGCTATTTGAAATCTGCAGATAAGAGTACGAGCTGCTTTTCCAGAGAACCCCGTCAAGTCCCAGCACCCACGTGGTGGTTCACAGCCCTCCCGTAACTCCAGTTCCAAGGGAATCAGATACCCTGTTCTGGCCTCTGTGGGTACTAGGCAAAAAACCATACATAAACAATTTTTATTTAAATTAGAACAATCTATTTTATATATCAATCCCAGTTCCCCCTCTTTCCTATCCTCCCATGCTCCCACTACCCCCCATCCCATCCCTCTTCTGCTCCATAGAAAGGGTGAGGCCTTCTATATGGATCATCAAAGTCTGTCATATCATTTGGGTCAGGGCCTAGGCCCTCCCCCATAAATTATTATTTTTTTAAAAAGACTCTGACTGTAGAAATTATAAATTAGCATGGTTAACAGAGTGTTTGTTTTGCTTGAGTAATTTCTTTCTTTTTTTTTTTTTTAATTAGTTCAAATTAGGAACAAGCTTGTTTCACATGTCCATCCCTTCTCCCTCTCCCTCCCCTTGCTTGACAATAAGTCTTAATAGTCATTGTCATTGTTCTGGGGTTATTTCACATCAGACATAGCAATATTTCATAGATAAAAAGATTCTGTGATAAAGTTTATTCCATATTACATTTCAGTTTGATAATGTCACTTTTTGGTATGAATGCTATACCACTAGTATTTATAATATTTATCATACTAGTGTGCCAAATGATCTTCTAACTTTACATAGTTTTTTGCACATATTTGTATATATGTGTGGGTGTACATTTGGAGGTGCGAGGACAACCTTGTGGGTCCTAGAGATAAAACTTGGGTTGGTAGACTTGGCAGCATCACCGCTTGAACATTCTTAGTCCAGATTTTGTGGGTTTTGTTAGTAGACAGTTTCTTGTTATATGATAGAATGTTAGAAGAGTATACATTTTGAGTCTTCTTGATTTTTTGTGAGACTGTCTCACATAGCTCACTGTTAATCCCACTGGATGAGTGTAAATACCATTAACTAAATTATTTGGTCAAATTATGCAAGTTTTGGGCTGGAGAGATAGCTCAGTGGTTAAGAGCACTGGCTGTTCTTCCAGAGGTCCTGAGTTAAATTTCCAGCAACTATATGGTGGCTCACAACCATCTGAGATGAAATCTGGTGCCTTTTTCTGGCTGGGAGGGATACATTCAGACAGAGGACTGTATATATTATAAATAAATACATCTTTATTAAAAATAAACATTTAAAAAATTGTGCAAGTTTTATTTTTTGTCAGATAGGGCTATTTCCCTAAAGTGGAGTTTATATTAGCCCCCAAACTGCAAGCCTAGGGGGTTTTCAGTTATGTGGAACTTGGCAGAACATCTCAAAAATTATTTGACAGAACATCTTAACAGGCTGGAGGTTAGGATACAGGGTGTGGAACCTGTCAAATTCCAGAAAATGGGTCAAGACATGGTCAAACCCAAGTTTTACAGAAAATAGGAATGAACTTATTTTGACCTTGTAATAAGATGGAGTCAAGCTGGTCCATCACCAGCCTAGCCATACTCACTGTATAGTTAAAGACTTCTCTTTGATATTCCTGCCTCTACCCCTAAATGCTGGGACTGCTGGTATGTACCACAGTGTCTGGCATATACATATTAAAAGTCTTAAGCTCGTTTTTTTTTTAATTATAAATAAGATTGTTTTACATGTTCCCTCTTCCCTTCTCAGTCTTAAGCCCTTTAAGGATAGAAAGAGAACCTTGAAATTTATTGTGAAAGAAATGTTTAATATTTTATTTGTATGTATTTTTCTCTGCTTTGGAGTCATGTCCATGCCAGTCTTCTGCTCTTGTTGCGAGTCTTCATATTCTTGTTCTTTACATTTGCTGTTTGTCTATCTCTGCTTGCACAGGCTGTATGTGCAGCTATCTATTCTTAGGTACTCCTTTTTTTTGGGTTTTTCGAGACAGGATTTCTCTGTGTAGCTTTGGACCTATCCTGGCAGTCGCTCTGGAGACCAGGCTGGCCTCAAACCCACAGAGATCCACCTGCCTCTGCCTCCCGAGTGCTGGGATTAAAGGCATGTGCCACCAACGCCCGGCTGTGTATGTATTTTTCTGTGTATGTATGTGCACCATGTTTAGTCCTGGTGCCCTCATAAGTTAGAAGAGGGCATTGGATCCCCTTAAACTCATCCCAGATGGCTGTAAGTCACCATGTGGGTGCAGGGAACTGAACTCCAGTCCTCTACAAAATGCTCTTCCGCACTGAGTCATATCTTGTTCATTATTAATTTTTGGTGCCATATGTATTTGAAAATATCAGCCTGTTAGAAAAAAAAAATGACTTTAAAAGTTTTTTCTTTGAGAAGTTTATACAATGGTGATCATGTTTATTCCTTAGCTCCTCTACTTAACTCCTCCCAGACTCACCAAACCTCCAAATTTAATAACCCATCAGCTTCAATTTGTACTATCTATATGCTTCTGAGGGTGAGGGCAGCTCCTGGAACATGGTCAACATTGAGTCTTCCTTCAGAAGCCATCTACTGTTCAAAGCTCCCCCGTTGGGCATGGGCTCACGAGCCCCTTCCATGCTAGAATCTTGACTGTCTCTACACGAGTTCATGAGATCATTGGTTTTAACGTGTACAGTCTTTCTGCCAGACCTCTAATACATGGTGGTCTCTAAGCTTTGGGAATGTGTGTGTGCGTGTGTGTGTGTAAGTGTGCACGCACATGCAAGTATGACATAAACCTGACTCATTTGTAATTGAGCACTTCATAGTCACCTATTCTCTGCACTGTGAGCACTTGTGAGCTTCTGTTTTAACTCTCTTCTTCTGCACAGAGAAACTTCTGTGATGCAGTCTGAAAGCTGCACCAACCCCAGTACTCCTACCCTCAAGCTGTGTTGTTTTAGTAGAAACACTTTTATTTTCAATGTGTATGGGTATTTTTTCTGCATGTACATGTATGTGCTTGGTACCTGTGGAGGCCAGAAGAGGATGCCTAATTTTTAATTGTCTGGAACTGGAGTTCTAGATGGTTGTGAGCTTCCATGTGGGCACTGGGAATTGAAGAGCAGCCTAAATCTGAGCTCCTATACTACTTTTAAATTTTAAGTTTGGACCTGAAAAGATCTCTCAGCAAGCAAAAGCTTTTATGAAACTAAGTTCAATACCTAGAATCCATGTAAAAGTGTAAGGAAAGAGCCTCCACAAAATTGTCCTCAGACTTCCATTGTCATCCACTGTAGCCCCCCCCCAGAATAAATAATTAAAATTTAATTTGGAACTCTTGATTTTCCTCCCAAATACTTTTGCTCTTGGTAGTTTAGATAAATGTGGGAATTATTGAAATTCTTCTGTGCTATCAGAATCCTAACCTTTTAACATAAATTTATATTTGTTATTATTGTGTGTTTTGTTTTATGTCTGATGTTTTGGTCTTGGTCTTAGCCTCCACAGCATAGCAAATACAAAACATACATGTGTCGAGATATGAAACAGAGGGGAGGATGCCCTCGTGGGGCCAGCTGTACATTTGCACACTCACAAGAAGAACTGGAAAAGTAAGTATGAAAACCATGGGACATAGGCTTTGGGATAAGGAATAATACAAAAAGAATCATCGCATTCTCTTCAGTGCATAAGAAACCTTTATGAATTAAACACTCTCTCTCTCTCTCTCTCTCTCTCTCTCTCTCTCTCTCTCTCTCTCTCTTTAAATTTGGGGCCTGGTTGAGACAGGGTTTCTCTGTGTAGCTCTGGAGCCTGTCCTGGCACTCACTCTGCAGACCAGGCTGTCCTCCAGCTCACAGAGATCCGCCTGCCTCTGCTTCCTGAGTGCTGGGATTAAAGGTGTGCACTACCACCACCTGGCAAATTAAAAGTTTCTTGTTTTTTGTTTTTTTTTTTTTTTTTTTAGTTTTTATTGCATTGTCATAAATGGGAAGCTATTTTTTACCATTAAGTAGATATCAAAATGAGTCATTTCCACACAAATTTCTAATACGTTTTAACAATTTTAACTGATTTTTACTAAGGGCATAATATATTTTTAGTTGAAACATTTGTTTTTCATATAGATTTCGTAAAATGAACAAACGTCTGGTTCCCAGAAGACCTCTGAGTGCGTCTTTGGGTCAACTTAATGAGGTGGGCCTGCCTTCAGCACCTATACTTCCTGATGAAAGTGCAGTGGACTTGTCCAGCAGGAAACCGCCTGCACTACCAAATGGAATTGTGTCAGGGGGCACAGTGACACAGCTGATTCCACGTGGGACAGACCCCAGCTATGATTCTAGTCTGAAGCCAGGGAAGCTGGACCACCTGAGCAGCAGTGCTCCTGGGTCCCCTCCTGACCTGTAAGTCTTCACGGGAAAAGAAATGTTCAGTTCTAAAGAAAGTGCTTATTGGGTTTTGTTTTTTCTTCTGTTTTAAGTCAAAGTCTGTCCTTTACCCCACTTCATAGCCAAAGATGAGCTTGAAAATGTGATTCTCTAGCTCCCAGGTACTGGAATTGCAGGCAGGCATGCAGCGCAACGTGCTGCTATGTTGTGATGGGGAATGAACCCAACAACTGAGCTACATCCCAGCCCAAAAATGTACATAGATTGTTTGTTTGTTTTGTTTTGTTTTTTGAGACAGGGTTTCTCTGTAGCTTTGGAGACATGATTTTTTTTAAAAGGAAGGATATTTTTTTTTCTTAATTTGTAGAAGAGGTTAACATTTGAATATATCCGTTTTCCAGATACTGGCAGTCTTTTTATGTGAAACATTTAATGTACATTAAAAGAATATTTTAGAGTCTTTAAATTTGTCTTGTATAATTTTGTTTCCTTAGGCTGGAATCTGCCCCTAAGAATATTTCTGCCTTACCTGTGAATCCACATCCTGTACCTCCAAGGGGACCAACAGATCTGCCTCCCATGCCTGTTACCAAACCAATTCAGATGGTACCTCGAGGTTCTCAGTTATATCCACCACAACAAGCGGATGTTTATTATCAGGATCCTCGAGGAACTGCCCCAGCGTTTGAGCCAGCACCTTATCAGCAGGGTAATGTCTTTCATTTAAGTCACTCAGGTTTATCATACAGGTAAAAAGGATAAAGCTATCAGTTATAGACTGGATTAACATTTACCGAGCAAATATATTGAATAAACCTGACCAAGAATGAAAAAGAAGTATGTAGTGAATGCAAACTAAATTGGTTTCTGTCTTAGTTAGGGTTACAAACACCATGACTAAAAAGCAAGTTGGGGAGGATTTTATTTGGCTTACACTTCCACACTGCTATTCATCACTGAAGGAAGTCAGGAGAGGAACTCAAATAGGGCAGGATGCTGGAGGCAGGAGCTGATGCAGTGGCTTTAGAAGGGTGCTGCTTACTGGCTTGCTCCCTATGGCTTCCTCAACCTGGTTTTTTTTTTTTTTTTTATATATATATATAGAACCCAGGACCACCAGTCCCAGGATAGAACCACCCACAATGGGCTGGGCCCTCCCTCATTGATCACTAATTAAGAAAATGGCTTACAGCCAGGCCTAGTGGTGCATGCCTTTAATCACAGAACTTAGGAAGAAGAAGCAAGTGAATCTCTTGAGTTTGAGGCCATCCTGGTCTGCAGAGTATGTTCTGGGACAGCCAAGGTTATTATGCAATGAAACCCACTCTTGGAAAAATGAAAAGAAAGAAAATGCTTTACAGCGAGATTTTATGGAGGCATTTTCTCAATTAAGGTTTCCTCCTTTCAGATCTCTCTAGTTTATGTGTCAAGTTGATGTTAAGACTAGATAGTAGTTTCCTTCTTTTCAGTTATCAATATTGGCCTTGTAATATATCTGAAACAGTTCTGCATACGAACCTTTAGAGCAGCAGTTCTCAACCTGTGAGTTATGACCCCTTTGGCAAACTTCTGTCTCCAAAAAGATTTACATTACCATTCATAATTGGAGCAAAATTACAGTTGTATAGTAACAGTGAATATAATTTTATGGTGGGGATCACCACATCATGAAGAACTGTATTAAAGGATTGCAGCATTAGGAAGGTTGAGAACCACTGCTCTGGAGGTTCTGTAGTGTAGAGTCAGCCTTATAGTAAAGAATAGCTTACTGTGTTGGTATATGCCTTTGATCCCAGCACTGAGGCAGAGTAAGAAAAGATGAAAGGGAATGCTAAAATTTCAAACTAAAGTATTGGCTCTATCATAGACAGGGTATTGTTTCTTTTTAATGGTTATAAACCAGTTTTCCTATCTTCCTTTCCTCTCTTTCCTTTCTTTTTAATGGTAATAAAGTATCTTTCCTGTCTTATTTTTCTTGTAGGCTTTCACCTTTATGGCACATGTCAGCTCTACATGTGAATTTTTATAGTTTTGCTAATGCTTATTTATTGTTTTAGTTTTGTTTTGAGAAAGAGTTGCTTGCAGTGTATATACCAAGTAGTGGTAGCTCACACCTTTAATCCTAGCACTTGGGTGGCAGAGGCAGGGTGATCTCTGAGTTTGAGGTTAGCTTGGTATACAAACTCCATACAGAAACCTTGTCTGGGGTTTTAAAAAAAAAAAAAAAAAAACGAAAAAGAAAAAGAAGAATTCACTGGCCTTGAATCATGAGGATCCTTTTGCCTCACCCTCCTGACTGCTGGGATTACAGGCACCCAACATAAGAATAGATTTTAATTGATATAACATGATTGATAGTAGTTATAAAAGAATCTGACTTGAGCCGGGCGTTGGTGGAGCATGCCTTTAATCCCAGCACTCGGGAGGCAGAGGCAGGTGGATCTCTGTGATTTCGAACCAGCCTGATCTACAAGAGCTAGTTCTAGGACAGCCTCCAAAGCCACAGAGAAACCCTGTCTCGAAGAAAAAAAAAAAAAGAATCTGACTTGATTTTTATCTTCTGAAAAAATCCTAATTGTTTTTGTTCAGGCATCCAGTGTGTAATGTTATACTGTATCAGGAAGAGTTCAGTTAAAGAAAAGAGAAATCTATATAGCTATATTAAACATAAACATATTGGTGGAAGTACTAGGGGAGCAAGCTTAACTAGGTCTTTAGAAAATGAATCCTAGAAAAGCATAGCTGGTGTGGAGAGCAGAAACAAAACCTTTGGTCTTAAGTGGTGGTTCCAAGTGAAAGACCACCTCAGTTGTCTCAAGAACTCTAGAGTGGTGGTGGCACCTGCCTTTAATCCCAGCACTTGGGAGGCAGAGTCCCTCCTCTATGTCCACCTTCCCTCCTCTATGCTGGGAATTTTTTTTTCCCAGCTGGAGCTTGTTCAGGTCTTGTGCATGCTGTGTAATGAACAGTAGACCTGTGGCATATCACATCTAGTACTTAATAGTTTAAATTGTAACTCTACAGTAGCAGGGCCTGGTAGAGCAGGCCTATTAATTCCAGCTACTGAGGAGCCTGAGGCAGGAGGAGCTCAAGTTCTAAACATGCCTGGGCAACAGAGTGAGTTTGGTGCTAATCTGGGCAGCTTCAGAATACCCTGTCTAAAATGAAATATTTAAAAAGGGGTTAAGAATCTAGCTCTGTAATAAAGCGCTTGACCATTATGCATGCAGTCTTGAATATAAAAAATCTAAAGAAGAAAAACTAAAGTAGAACCTGAGCATAAAGGATCCTTGTGAAATGTACTTTTTTTTTTTAAAAAAAAAAATTCCAGGCCCGGAAAGATGTCTCAGAGGTTAACAGCACTATCTGCTCTTCAATTCCCAGCCACCACATCGTGTCTCACAACCATCTATAATGAGATCTGGTGCCCTCTTTTGACAGGCAGGCAGAACAGTGTATACATAATAAATAAGTCTTTTTTTTTTTTTTTTTTAATTTTTAAAAAAATTTCCAGTGACTATATTGCATTAGGACAAACCAGAAGAAAGTGTTAATTTACTATTTTAGATGATATGTAGATTGCTTTTCCATTTATTTTCATTAGTTATTTGGAAGAAGAGATTTCCCTGGGATTGAATTTAGGGTTCTAATGTGAGTTTTCTTGGGCTGGCTAGGTCCCGCCACTGCTTCAGCCCCAAATGATTACACAGATGCTATAATTATGAAACTGTTGGCGCTGGCTATGGCTTCTCATTGGCTAGCTCTGTCTAAATTATTAACCCATTACTAAGTATTTCCACGTGGTCTCATCTTACCAGAGAAAAGGTTGGAGCCTCTTACTCTGTTGGGGTCTACTCGAGTCTGCTCAGCATCTTTTCAGAGAAGAGAAGACAGTGACTTCCTGTTTGTCCCTACTTTTATTCCAATTCTGCCTAGCTACATTACTTCCTGCCTGGCCAATCAGCCAATTAGTGTTTTATTCATTATCCAATAAGAGAAACATATACACAGAAGGACTTTCCCCATCACAGGGTCTTGCCAGTTCCAAGCAAACACTACCACTGAGCTGTGCTCCTGATCCTAAGGATAGTATTTGCTTGCTAATTTTCATGAAGCTAACCTAAGTAAACAAGTAAGCTTATATAGAAAAGCACATGTGCTCACTCTTGTTCTGGGTTCCTCTTTTGTATTATACAGGTATGTACTATCCTCCACCACCATGTGTGTCCCGCTTCGTAAGACCTCCACCATCTGCTCCTGAACCTGGTCCTCCATACTTGGATCATTATCCACCCTACCTCCAAGATCGTGTCATAAACTCTCAATATGGCACACAGCCACAACAGTACCCACCTATGTACCCACCTCACTATGATGGCCGTCGTGTATACCCTGCTCAATCTTATACAAGAGAGGAGATTTTCCGGGAAAGCCCCATACCCATTGAGATTCCACCTGCAGCAGTACCATCCTATGTGCCCGAGTCCAGAGAGCGATACCAACAGGTAGAGGGTTACTACCCAGTGGCTCCTCATCCAGCTCAGATCAGACCTTCATACCCCAGGGTATGCTGTATTTTTTTTACTTATTACATAAACATAATTTATATTTATGAACATTCATATTTTGCTATGGTAATTACCTTTTTGCTTCTTATATGAAAACATCTTTCTTTTTTTAAAATGATGTATTTATTATGTGTCCATTGATCTGCCTACAGGCCAGAAGAGGGACCGGATCTAAATTATAGATGGTTGTGTGAACCACTATATAGTTGCTGGGAATTGAACTCGGGACTTCTCTAAGAGGAGCCCTCTAAGAGGAGCCAGAGCTCTTAACCTCTGGCCACCTCTCCAGCCCCCAAAACATTTATTTCTTAAATAATTTTTAGAAATTTTTCATTTTTTGTCTATGTATGTATAATATGTGTGTGTGTGTGTGTGTGAGAGAGAGAGAGAGAGAGAGAGAGAGAGAGAGAGAGAGAGAGAGAGAGAGAGAACACACTCTGGTCATAAAACATAAGTGGAAGCTTCACTAGTCTAAACATTGTTAGTTTGTGTCTATAGGAAATTTGGAAGATCTTAGAGTTTGGGTTGGCTTTCTTTTGTTTTTCTTATTTTCTTTAGTGTTGATATTTCTGGATGTTAAGATGGGCATACATTATGCTTCTGATTTAAATACATAACATGTGCTGAAATTGTTGGTCAATTTTAAATAATCTTTCAATTTTTAGGAGCCTCCTTATAGTCGGCTTCCTCCTCCCCAGCCCCATCCTAGTCTGGATGAGTTACATCGTAGACGGAAGGAAATAATGGCCCAACTCGAGGAAAGAAAGGTTATCTCTCCACCTCCTTTTGCGCCTTCACCAACATTGCCTCCTGCATTCCATCAAGAGGAAGTAAGCATATCATTTTTAATCCTACTTAATAATTTTATCATTGTCATTTAGCCTGTTAAAGAGATAATGAGAGCAGAGTAGTTGGTTGTGGTGCAGGAGGCAGAGGCAGGCAGATCTGAGTCTGAGGCCAACCTGGTCTAGGGAGTTCCAGGATGGCCAGGACTACCAGAGAAATCCTGTCTTGAAAAAAAAAAAAAAAGTGAAAGAAGGAAGGAAGGAAAGAGAGAGAGAGAGAATGAATCTGTTCCTGAGGAGATATTTATTGAGTTTTTAAATTATGAGGCTATTTTCTTTTTTTCTTCCAGAGATTATTGTTTTATTTTACATTTAGATCCATAACCCATTTAGAATTGGGTTTTAAGTAATATGTTAGAATCAAGGCCCCTTTTTCTTCTGTAAGGGTAGCTCATTGGCCCTATACCATTTAATGATTTGAGCATTGTTTTTTTCCCCTGTGTTTGGCAGTCAGCTTTGTTGAGATTACTTTTATTAGGGCTGGTGTGATGGTGCATATCTGTCATTCGGTAGAATACCGAAGCATAAGGGTTGTTATGTTTGAGGCCAGCCTGGTCTACATAGAGAGCAGCGCTGTCTCATTGATCTAGTTCTGTCCTTAGACTCGTACTGCATTTACTTATTTATTCATTCATTTTGTGGGGGTGGGGGTTCAGGGCAGTAGGTATGTGAGGATGGCTTGTAGGAGTCAGCTCCTTGGTTCCAAGGATCCAAACTTGGGTCATCAGAGGTGCACAGTGTGCTTCAGTTGAGCCATCTGGCTGACCCCTCATTCTAATGATGTCATTTTACTTAAGTCTTGACTTACTGGTATAGGATTTCCAGTATTGAATTCAACAGTAAATAAACATGTTGGGAGTTGGGGGGTAGTTAGTTCAATATTAATGTTATTTGACCAGCATGTGTGAGGCCTGGGGTTCAGTTCCCAGCACCTTTCAAGCAAAACAGAAACCCACAAAAGAATCAGCATGTTGATTTCTATAAGTTTTTATGAGGATTTATTGATGGATCAATTCTGGGTAGTATGGTAGTCACTAGACACCACGTGTGGTTGTTAAGTTCATAATATGTGTCTGATTCAAACTCAGATGTGGTGTGCTGAAAACATAAAAGATACACTAAATTTCTATGCACATAAAACACATACTAGATCCAAAGATTCAGTACCCAAAACTAAAATCTTGCATTCATTCTTTTTATTTGTTTTGCTTTTTGAGATGAGGTCTCACTATACAGCTCCTGGCTTGCCTGAAACTCACTTATAGACCAGATTGGCCAGAATTTACAGAAATCCACCTTCCTCTGTCTGAGTGATTAAATTAACAGCATAACCAATCCTGGCCTTTGTTAGTGTTTTTAACATCTTGGATATGAGATTAAATTAAATTTCACCGGTTTTTTTTTTCTCTTCTCTTGCTTGCTTGCTGACTTGTTTTTAGAGATGGGGCCTTTTGGGAGTTAGGCCAGCTGAGGCTGACCTCAAACTTATGGCAGTCCTGCTACAGCTTCCCAAGTCTTGGCATTACAGACCTTGGTCATTCTTTCTGTACAACACCTGCTTCTTCTACTTTTTTTTTTTTTTTAAGTATGGCTGCTAGAAAAATTTAAATTACATATATGGACCACATTTTATTTCTGTTGGACAGTGTTGCTGTAGGTCAATATTCAGAGAAACACACCTTTCTATCACCATGATGTACCCTTAATTTATTTGCATAACTGACTTCATTTGTTTGTTTTGAGGTAGGGTTTCTCTGTATAGATTTGGACCCTGGCCTTGAACTCAGAGTTCCGCCTGTCTCTGTCTCCCAGGTGCTGGGATTAAAAGGCTTGCACCACCACTTCCCAGCTGTATAACTGACTTTTTTAAATGTAATACTTTTTGAAAATTCATTTTTTTAAAATGTAATTTATTTGGGTCCAGCGAAGTGTGTCTAGAAGTCAGAGAACAATTGTTGGGAATTGGTTTTCTTTCTACTGTGGGTTCTGGGGACCATAATCAAGTCATCAGGCTGAACCTGCTGAGCCATCTTGCTAACCCTCAATTGCTGTTTTTTATTGAAAGTATGCACAGGAATGTCATTACCTTTTTAAAAGAATTAGATTTTTGTTTACTGATTCATCTATTCAACAGGTGTGCTAAATTTCCTTCTTAATTCAAGTATTGGTTGTGACCTAGTTTATAATCACCTCCTTTTTCCTTTTCAGTTTTACACATTTTCTTATCTTGTTCTACAGTATAATGTTGAGTAAGAGTGGTAATAGGTATTACTGGCTGTAGTCTTTGTGTAGAGAAAACTTTGGGTGATTCATCAGCATGGTTTTTACACTAGTGTTTTTGGTTTAAAAACAACAAGAACAAAAACTTACCAGATTAGAAGTCTGTTCCTAAATTGGTGGTGGTGGTGGTGCATGCCTTTAATCCCAGAACTGGAGAGGCAGAGGCAGGGAGATCTTTCTGAGTTGAAGGCCAGCCTGATCTACAGAGCAAGTTTTATAACAGCCAGGGCTGTTACACAGAAAAATCCTGTCTCGAAAAACCAGAAAAACAAAGTCTCTTGCCATAGTTTTTAAATAATGGAGACAGAAATTAAGATGTATTTTAATGCAGTAATAAAACAACAGTATGGTTTAAAAAAAATAGGCAATGCGTGCAAATGAGGATAGACAGTAAAACTTAAAGAAGGGATGCTTGGGTTATGTACCATAATTTTGAGCATTTCATTTATGTTTCTATAAAATAGTGCTAATAGATTTGGTTTGGTTTGGGGTGTTTTGAAACAGAATCTCATACTGTGTTGTGCCCAAACCCAAAATCACCAAGAGACCTGATCTAATGTAAAAGCAAAGTCTTTAATTTTACAACTTAATGGGGTTGCCATCTCCCCCTCCATCTCCCCCCCCCCCCCCCCCCACACACACACACACACACACACACGAGCCAGGGTATAGCAAGGGAAGTGTCTTGGGTCCGCTAGTTGTATAACAACACTCTCAGGATTGGTACACATCCACACCTGGGCAACCTGTCCTGTGTTGATTGGTCAACTGCAGCTGCAGGAAGGTTGCTATGCCTAGAAGCCCTCCCAGGGTCGTGGCTATGCTCTGCATTCCATTGTTACTGGTAAAGCACATCCAGAGCCCGCCAGATAATTGATTGATTTCTTGCCACGTGGAGGGTATCTAGCTTCCTAGTGACTAGGGCAAGGTTGGGAGCTCAGTCGGGGCCTTTGTCTTGCTGGGTCTTTTCTGCAGCCTGTCATGGCTGCCAAAGCAGGGGCCTGGATGAAGGTCTGGGGCCTTCAACTTGACCCTGGGTTCACCTTAAATTCACTTTGTAGCTCAAGGTGGCCTCACACTCAGGGTCTCCTGCCTCAGCTTCCAAGTGCTGGGATTATAGGCGTAAACAATTGTACACAGCAAAACATTGCTTATAGCTGTCATGAGTGTGTGTTGTCCTCATTTATTCATTTCTGATACTAATATTTATTCATTGCTTAGTCGCTTTTAATTTATCATTTTTATGTCTTTTAATTAGACAACTTGAGCTGCGAATGTAGCTATGTTGGTAGAGTATTTGCCTAGCATGCACAGATCTTTGGATTCCATCCATAACACCTTGGGCAAGGAGACAAGAGGATCAAAAGTTATAGGTCATCCTTGGCTAGATAACAAGTTTGCAGCCACTCTGGGATACATGAAACCTTGTCTCATACTTTAATTCATAATGAACATAATTCATCTAATATAGTTGGAGTACAGATTTTTTTCAAGTCAAATAATATGTGTAAAGAATATGTTTTATGACAGATGTGGTGGTGCAGAGGCAATGGCAGTTGGATCTCTGTGAGTTCGAGACTAGCCTGGTCTACAAAGGGATTTCCAGAACAGCTAGGGCTGTTACAAAGAGGAAACCCTGTCTCGGAAAAACAAACAAACAAACAAACAAAAAGAATGGTTTATATTCTTTATATGTAGAATTATGCGTCTAAACAATATTACTAATGGACAAGCCATATATAATAAAAAATGAAAGTTGGAAAATGAAAGCTCGGTGTTGTGGTACATGCCTGTAGTCTCCCCACTTAAGAAGTTGGAGCAAGAGTATCTGAAAACAGTCTGGGCTACATGTATCAAGATTCTGTTTCAAAACACAGCAAACTGAAGGTTATTGTTTGTATGCAGCAAATAGTAATTTCTTTAATGTATGAAGGTAATCTAAGTAGAAGTTCATAGTGACTATCTTTCTAGAGTTCTGGGATTAATAACATGCTAGCCATGTCTGGCTAGCTCTATATTTAGACTTTCATTCTGATCATAAGCAGCCTACATATAGTTGTACTAAATTCATACTTTACAGAAATGCATGACATAGAAAGATCAACTGACAGTTTTGTTATGTATTTCAACTTTTTTTAAAATGTGTGTGAGCACATTTAGTGTGTGTTTGTTTTTGTGGATTACTTTCCTTTGCTTAACTTGGATGTTCATACTGATGTGCACTTATCTCATTCGCTTTTGTAGCTGCATGATATATAACATTCAGGTGGAAGAGCATACTTTATAGGTGGTATTGTGCTTTAAAAATTATCTGTTCTACATGAGATAGTATCTATAAAAGGACTGAAAATGTTAAGCATTATAGAATTGTAAATGTTGCAGTTTAATAAAAAAAAATACATCGGCTAATAAAAAAAAAAATACATCGGCCTTGCAACGGGTTGTTACTTGATAACCACAGTACTTCAGTCTTGGATGAGGCATCTTACCCTTTTATTTAATCAGCCACAGGGCCAGAGTGCATTCTGGAAACAGGAAACACTACTATTGAAGAAACATCAGGAAAGTGTTACTGCATCACTATGATAGAGCATCTGAGATGTTTAGAATGGTCTCGTTTACCTCAGGTGTTAGTTCCTAAGGCTCTCTTGGGACAATCTAGCAAATGTGTGGCATGGTATATGCTTACTTAGATGTTTACTTCATCTAATATAGTGAATAAAATGCTGAACAAACCTCTTAAGATCCTAGCTTGATTAACTGAAGAATATTGAAATACTTCCTTTTTTTTTCACTGCTAATAACAAATATGATGGCTACAATAATCTTCACACTTTTCAGTATATAAAAATGTATTCTGACACTTAATCAAATAACTATCATTATATTGCTTCAATTTGATGTTCTGAGAAGTTCCCTGCTTTCCCTGTTTTGTTAACTCATAGACCCACTTCCTATTTTCTTTTTTCCCCCTTTCCATCTATAGTTTTTGGATGAAGAATTCAAGGTAGCTGGGAAGTACAAAGCAAATGATTATAGCCAGTATTCACCTTGGTCATGTGATACCATCGGCTCCTACATTGGAACCAAAGATGCAAAACCCAAAGATGTGGCAGCAGGGAGTGTGGAAATGATGGTATGTGTAATGGCGAAGCCATAATTAATACAAATCTAGGTGCATAAATCCTCATCTACTAAAGGCTAGGGACAAACGTTTGAGTTTTGCTTTATTTTATTTATTATCTACTATATATCATTTTAGGTAGCAATTTCCCAGCAATTGTTCATAACCCAAGTTAAATAATTTTACTCATTAAATCAACCCTAGATTTCAGGGTGGAGATATGATTCATTGATTAAGAGCATATTGCTATTGCAGAGAACCTGAGGTTTGTTTTTGGTTTGTTATTGTTCTTTTGTTTAAAGATCCATTTATTTTCACTTTTATGTGTATGAATGTTTAGCCCACATGCATGTATATGCACCATGTGTGTGCCTGTTGGATCCCCTGAACAGGGATTACAGATGGTTGTGAGCAACCATGTGGGTGCTGGGAATTGAACCCAGGTTCTTTACAAGTACAACGTATGCTCTTGACTACTGAGCCACCTCTCCAGCCCTTCCCCCCCCCCAATTTATTACTTTGTATGTATGGATGTTTTGTCTGCATGTATGTCTGTGCACTAGGTGCCTGTCTGGTGCCTAAGGTCAGAAGAGGGCATTGGATCTCTTAAAACTAGAGTTATAAATAGTTGTGAGCCCATGTGGGTACTAGGAATTGAACTTGCATGCTCTAGAAGAACAGCCAGTGCTGCTAACTGAGCCATCTCTTTGGCCCCAGATGATTCAGTGCCCTCCTCTGGCCTCTGTTGGTGCACTCATAACCCACACACAGATGTACAAAGACACATAATTAAAATAATCTGCCAGCAATGGTATTTTGAGATTTTAATCTCAGCACCCAGGAGCCAGAGGCTGGTGGGTCTGTGAGTTCAAGGCCAACCTGGTCTACATAGCCAGGGATATATAAAGAGACCCCCACCTCAAAAAAAAAATCAAAATAATAAGTTATTTTTTTTTATTTAAAGATTTTGTATTTATTTACCAAGTAAATTAATTAAAACTAAAAGTCTGTAGTTTAAACCAGCTTGAACTAGAAAATAAGTATTGCTTGGATCAGAAAGTCAGGTTAAACTCATTTGCAGTTTAAGTATTTACTTATTTGCTATTTGGGGATAACAAAAAGCTATTTGGGGACTGCAAAAGCCTTGTGCTCACACATCATCGTAATGTTTTAAAAAAAGACAGTGTCCTGTTTGAAGATTTTGGGAGTAAAAGGACTGTGTACTTGAAGTGTCTGGAGTGGCCCTTCCAAGGACCCCATAAATGTGAATGATGTATAACTTTGTAACCCTGAGAGATGGCTTGTGGTGGTCCTCACTTCTCTGTAGCCCAAGCAGGCCTTGACTTTCAGTCCTCCGTAGTCACTGAGATTATCAGCCTGAGTTGTGCTGTTTGTTGTGTTGAGTTTCTCATTTCTGTAAAAACTATTCTCACAAAAAAGAATATTTATTTTGGGGTTGTCTAGATAATCACCTTTAGCAAAATGTAACATTAAAGGCCCAGTGGTTTAAGTCCCTGCTATACAAGTCTGAGGACCCACATCAAATGGTGGGTGACTATCATCCTGACACTGGTGAACAGAGACAAGAAGAAACCAGGTGCATGCTTGTAGCCAGTCTAGCCAATCAGTAAGTTCCAGGTTCAGTGGGAGATACTAAAATAAAAAGCACATTGAAGGCTGGAGTGATGTCTCAGTGGTGTTCCCAGTACCCCCACACACTTGTACTATGGCACAAGTGTGTATGCACCTACACAATAAATAAATAGACACTTACTTGCTTTTTAAAAGCATGTTAATTTTTCTTTTTTAGGAATATGTACACACCGAGGAATTCCTTAATTTATGTGTGAAAACTATTTTTTGGTTAAAAAGAATTTTTGTTTTGTTTTTTCGAGACAGGGTTTCTCTGTGGCTTTGGAGGCTGTCCTAGAACTAGCTCTTGTAGACCAGGCTGGTTCGATCTCAGAGATCCACCTGCCTCTGCATCCCTAGTGCTGGGATTAAAGGAGTGTCCCACCAATGCCCGACTAAAAAGAAAATCTTAATTGAGTCAAAATTGTTGTTTAGCTTATAATAGTTGCTATGAGCATATAAGATCCTGGAATTCATTGTATTTAGTTTTTTAGATTTTTTTAAATGAGAAATAATATAGGTATGTAGCTAATAAGCCAAGGTATAATGTATCTATTCTTATGTTTCAGTATTTTACATATTAATTGTCCCTCCCCCTTTCATTTTTACAAATAAAACTTTGTAAAAGTAGTTAACCTTCCTAATTTCATTTCTCCTTTACTCCTCTCCTTTAGTAAATAACCTTTAACCTGACTTTAATGCTTATTTTTTGGTACACGCATACGCGCACACTGTTTTCCTGGATTGCCCAGGGTGGCCTTAAATAAAGTACCCCTCTTCTATCAGTCCACTGAGTAGCTGGGACTATAGGCAGGTACTACTATGCTCAACTACTACTTGTTTCTTTTTGAGACCGAACCTCACTTGAGTTTTCAGGTTGGTTTGGAATTCATTGTGTGTAGCACAAGATAATTTCAGACTTGTGGTATGCTGGCCTTCCTTCCTACTGATTTGTGTAGATTTTCATAGATAATGTTTACTTAGCTGGCTAGATAAAATCAACTGATGACAGTCCATAGAGAGAAAAAAAACAATAAAATAAAAAACCCCACGGGGACTGTGAGAGGGACACAGCTAGGCCCTGGGCTCAGTTCCCAGCACCACATAAGATGAAATTAAATTTAAGCAAAGCTTTTTTCTGTGGACTACAATTAGCAAAATATATGCTTCTATACTACAAGAAGTCTTTCACTGGAACAAGCTAAAGTAGAATAATGAAAGGTGCTTTCCAGAGGACTGTCACACTGAAATTAATAGCAAAGTAAGATGAATTTCTTTACATTAGTAAACAATCACAAAATTGCTAACCTAGTGTAGATACCATGAAAAAAAATTTTCCAAATATGTGAAAGAAGTGGTAATAGTAGTTCTTAAGCATTGGTGTGTGGGTCAGGCATATAGCTTAGTAGTAAAGTGCTTAGGAATAGGTGGATCTATCATTTATTATCATCTGTCTGTACATAAATTTGGTCATGTAGTTCTTACTGTAATCTAAAAGCAATGTTTTATGACAGCCAAAGACAAATAAAGACTTATTCTTAGTAATAAGAGCATCATATTGCTATTAACCTCTCTACAGAGGTAGTGGAAATTATTCTAGACAGAATCTCATTTTTGCTTTTTGTCAGAATGTAGACAGTAAAGGAATGAGAGACCAGAGATTGGATCTTCAGAGAAGAGCAGTGGAAACTAGTGATGATGACCTCATCCCATTTGGAGACCGACCAACAGTATCTCGGTTTGGTGCCATCTCTAGAACATCCAAAACACTGTATCAGGGTGCTGGTCCAATGCAGGCCATGGCGCCACAGGGAGCACCCACAAAACCTATTAGCATTTCAGGTAAGAATCCCAGAGTAGTATACATGACTCTCAGTGTACTTCTATTAGTGCTTTTTAAGAATTTTCAAGGCAATGGTTTTTAAACTTTTCTCTGTAAGAAAGCAATTATACATCAGGGAATTTTAGTTAAGTTAAAGTTAACTGTCTAAATATCAAGATTGCCTGAGGGGCTGAGTGTAGCTCTTGGTAGAGTGCATGCCTAATATACATGAAACCAAAGTCACATAAACCAGGTATTATGGCACATGCCAGTAATCCCAGCACTGGGGAAATGAAGGCAGACTATCAGAATGTTCAAGTTCATCCTTGGGTACATAGTGATTTTGAGGCTATTCTAGAATAGAGGCCCTGTCTCAAAAAAGAAGTAAGTTGCCTGTGGTTTTTGTCTTTAAATGACTTCATTGCTTTACTAAAATAATAGTATGAGATGGTGACTGATCAGATAGAGAATATCTGAGTTTGGATCCTCATTACCCATATAAATTTCAGACTTGTGTGGGCATGTGTTTATAATCCAGTGTTTTTGGAAGGTAACCCTGACATCAACCATCACCTCTATATTCAAACATTCATGTGCACACACTGAGAAAAATATATAAAAAAATATAGGCAGATAATTTTCTAGACAGATAGATATAAAAGTGCCTTTGATTTTCGATTATAGTACCATAGAAGATGAATCAAACATGTGAATTACATTCTACCATGTTAAACTGTCCACTTACAGATTACAGTCCATACGGAGCTCATGGTGGCTGGGGAGATTCTCCATACTCACCTCATCCAAACATACCTCCTCAGGGACACTTCATCGAGAGGTACAAGTCGTTCTCTTTACTTGTTATAAATACTTTAAAGCATTTATTTAGCTTTCCTTATTTTATTTTTGCTAGTAGTAATGATTTCACAAAATAAAACTTCAGAGTTTTACCTCACTATGATTTCTTTCTTACTAAAGGGAGAAAATGTCCATGGCAGAAGTGGTCAGTCATGGAAAACCCCTTCTGTCTGCTGAAAGAGAACAACTACGGCTAGAATTGCAGCAACTGAATCATCAGATCAGCCAACAGACCCAGCTACGTGGGCTAGAGGTACAGATCCACAGACACTTTCTACACTTTCTCTGTGGAGCTTTGGAGCCTATCCTGGCACTCACTCTGGAGACCAGGCTGGCTTCACAGAGATCCACCTGCCTCTGCCTCCCAAGTACTGGGATTGAAGGCATGCGCCACCAACGCCCAGCAAATGTGTAGCTCAGCAAATTTGCCTCCTTCAGCAAATCCTACCAGCATGCGCCACCACAACTGGCTACAGACACTTTTGTGTTGGGGGTTTTGCTGTAAAACCCAACTGTCCTTACACTCCTGATCTTCCTGTGTTGGCCTCCCTTAGTACTTATGGTGAGATTACAGTTGTTCAGCACTGCAACTATTTTGTGCCCCCAGTTTTGAAGGGTTTCCAAGTATTTTAAATTGGATTAAAAAAAATTTTTTTTTCCCCGGGCTGGAGAGATGGCTCAGAGGTTAAGAGCACAGGCTGCTCTTCCAGAGGTCCTGAGTTCAAGTCTCAGCAACCACATGGTAGCTCACAACCATCTGTAGTGAGATCTGGTGCCCTCTTCTGGCCTGCAGGTGTACATGCAGGTAGAACACTATATATAATAAATCTTTAAAAAAGAATCATTATGTGTATGTGTTTGGTGAGGGGGGTCTGGGGGTGTGCACATGAATAGTAGAGGTGCTTGAGGAAGATTCCATCTCAAGTCACAGGTGCTTGTAGGCATCCCCACATGGCTGCAGGGAGGAGAACTCAGGTCCTCCGCAAGAGCAGTATGTTTTCTTAACCACCAAACCACTTCTCCAGTCCCCTTAAATAGTAATTTTTGAGGTACAGTAAGCATAGGATTTTAAAGCTTTTGTTTGAGTGTTAGTATAGATATCCTTTTTCAAGAAATTCAGAACTAAATTTGCCATTGTCAAGGGATTTTGTTTGTTGTTTTTATTTTATGTGTAGTGGTGTTTTGCCTGCATGTATGTTTGTGTGAAGGTGTCAGGTCCCTGGAACTGGAACCATAGACAGTTTTAAGCTGCCATGTGGATGTTGGAAATTGAACCGGGTGCTCTTAACCATTGAGCTCTCTCTCCAGCCTCCATCATTGAGTTTTAGTAGAAAAAGTTACAGGATTTATGTCAGGGAAAATAACAATAAGAAAGATGTACATTTATAATTGACTTTTCTTCAAAATAAGGAAAATAATTACAGTATTTTTGGTCTTAGATAGATGACTACTGTTGTGGGTTTTTTGGGGGGAGGTGGGTTTTTTTGTTTTGTTTTTTGAGACAAGGTTTCTTTGGAGCCTGTCTTAGAACTTGCTCTGTAGACCAGGCTGGCCTGGAACTCACAGAGATCCTCCTGCCTCTGCCTCCCGAGACATGCACACATTCTTAAAATACATCTTTTAAAAATAAAACCATTTTTATTAAAATGCTACTAAAAAAGACCTTGTATTTATAGTAGGATCATTTTTATTGCAACATGTGACTGGTTTAGTGTGAATACTTGGGATGAGGCATTCTCTATATGGTGTGATGTGTGCTGAGTTATGCGTGTGCTTGGCTTTGTGCACTAGGCTGTTAATAACCGGCTGGTGTTACAGAGGGAGGTGAACACCCTGGCAGGTCAACCACTGCCCCCTCCACTGCCTCCAAAATGGCCTGGAATGATCTCAAGTGAGCAGCTAAGCTTGGAACTACATCAGGTGGAAAGAGAAATTGGCAAGAGAACCCGGGAATTGAGTATAGTAAGTGCTGATGTTGGGAAAGGAAGGGGAGGAAGGTGAAATGAATTCTGTGTGGCTCTAATTTAGAATCATCTGGAGTTGGTTCTTGGTACCCTGAAGAGTGACTAATATTTGTGGTAGTTCTCATAAAGATGAGTTGTCACCTGGTTGTATAATTCCTCTCTTAGTTCTTATTGTTTTGGATTTGTCCTTTTTCGTATACTTGGTTCTCTATTCTCATTTGGGGCAAACAGGTAATTAGAAATAGTAAAGATTCTGTTTAACATATGCATATGTGGAGCAGGGGGATGATGATTCATCTTTTGTACTTTTGTGTAACATTAAGATATATTTAATTCTGGGTGGTGGTGTGACACACCTTTGATCCCAGCATTTTGGGAGGCAGAGGCAGGTGGATCTCTGAGTTTGAGGCCAGTGTGGTCTACAGAGTGAGTTCCAGGACAGCCAAGAGCCAAGGCTACACAGAGAAACCCAAGATACATTTATACAATAAAATGCTAGTTTTTGTGGCCTGTAAGGTAATGATGACCTAGTTTTATAAAGGAGTTATAGCTTATATACTGTTCTCTGTGCCATTTTTTCAATATTAGTTTGTGGCATTTTACTAAGATAGTAACAAGGTAGGTTTACTGTTACGCTTTTATGTATACTCTCTGTCATCTCCCTGCTTGTTTTCTTGCTAATTCTAAATAAAACTAAGAATTTTCTTTTATCATCACTTTGTGCTATCTGTATTTGCTCTGTCCCATTAAACCACAGATTGCTGACTTTATTTCCTCTCCTTTTAAAGGAGAACCAGTGTTCTATGGACACGAAAAGCAAATTGGGTACAAGTAAGCAAGCAGAAAATGGGCAGCCAGAACCACAAAACAAAGTCCCAGCTGAAGACCTTACATTGACATTCAGGTAACGGGATACTTCTATAGTACTATTAACCATATATGTTTTTTATGTAGTGCAAAAAGAATGTGGATATATTGATTTTTCGAGACAGGGTTTCATCTATGTAGCTTTGGCTGTTTTGGAACTCAGTCTCTAGTCCAGGCTAGAGTCCAACTCACAGAGATCCACCTGCCTCCAGAGTGGTGGGATTAAACATGTGTACTGCCACCACTGCCCTGTAGGAGGAAAGAATATGTTTCTATTAAATATAGAAATGATAAAGCTTACCTCAGGAGTTGGGGTGGAATATAACCATGGGCACTGGAGAGGGTACAGTAGGAAAATAGGGTTTTGAGGCTGGTCTGGACTCCAAAGTGAGACCATTTCAACACATGTATGTATAAGACTAAGCACTTAACCAGGGTTGAATTATCTGCTAACAAATATGTTTTCTGATTACATTTCCTTCTTCTTGTTGTTTAAGTGTAGCTTTTGAATTAAAAAACATAATATAGGCATACTGTAAATTGGAATTTAGTAAATGATTAAAAGCCTACCCATCCCCCACTTTATTGTTATTTTTATTTTATTTTCATACTAGGTGCTGAACTCAGAGCCTCACAAATACTAAGCACACTTCATCACTGAGCTATATTCCAGGGACTCCTCCCCCATTTCAGTTATATCATAAAAATAAGCCACAGGTGAAAGAATATTTTAAAAGATACAAGTTTTTTAAAGCACCCAAAATTTTACCTGCCATCATTATCTTGCCTATCTGTTTATGACATTTAGCATTTAGCCTTGCCTAGTGTTCTGGGTAGATTTCAGGTTTTTTGTTAGTCTTTTGAGACAGAGGCATGCACTACCTTCCCTGTGCTATTCCCAGCCACATTTTTAATTTGCTCTCATAACATGCTAATTAATTTACTTTTTATCCTTATTTTCTTTGGCATCTTTGAGGTATTTGAATGTATAGTCCTATGTTGCCCTCCTCATGACCACAAATTTCTAATGTTACTGGGTGTGGTGGCACTTGCCTTTAATCCTGGCACTAACTGTGTTTGAGGCCAGCCTACTCTACATAGTGAGTTCCAAGGTAGTTAGGGCTATGTAGAAAGACCCTGTCTCAAACAAAACAAAAACACAAAGAATTTCTTAATTGTCCTGTTGCTTTCTTCTTGGGTTTTGGCTATGTTAAATCTATATGCTGTCTAGGTTAAAAAATAAATTCCCATACAAATAAACTTGGTAAGTCAGAGGTTAGCACTCTCACCCCCTCCCCCCAGACAGGTTTCTCTGTGTGGCTTTGGAGCCTATTTTGGCACTCGCTCTGGAGACCAGGCTGGCCTCCAACTCACAGAGATCTGCCTGCCTCTGCCTCCTGGGTGCTGGGGTTAAAGGCATGTGCCACCAATGCTCTGCCCACTTTTTTTTCTTTTTAAATACCAGGCAGCTACTATTTTAAGGAATGTTGCAGGTTGGGGGTGGGGGCTGACTCACCACCTACCTCTGCCTACCAAGTGCTGGGTATCACCATGTCTGTTTCTTGTAGCTCAGTCCTCTAATGTGTAAGTGGCAATAGATACATAAACAAATAGGCAGGTTGTATTCTAACAAAACCTGTATTTCTAGAACAGGAAGCTTGTGAGCTTTAGTTTATCAATTATGTGCTACAATATGTATGAGGATTTATGATAAAAATTTGGAAGCTATTTATATATTTTTTTTTTTGTTTGGATTGTTTGAGGCGGAGTCTCCTTGAGTAGCCTTGGTTGTCCCAGAACCAACCTAGCCTAGAGTTAATAAGAGATCAGTCTGCTTCTGAAGGCATGTGCCACCACTCCTGACTCATATTTTCCCACAACACTAAATGATAAGCCTTTTCTCCTTTTAAAGATTTCAACTTTTTTCATGTGATTAACAGTGATGTACCGAATGGATCAGCTTTGACACAAGAGAATCTCAGCCTCCTATCAAACAAGACAAGCTCTTTGAACCTGTCAGAAGACCCTGAAGGAGGAGGAGATAACAGTGATTCCCAGAGACCAGGAGTTACTTCCAGTTCTGCTCCCTAGTATATGGGTGCCCTGCTTCTACCTTCTGCTCCTTATCAATTCGTAGGACATAGGGATAGAAGAATGGATAACTTCTAAACTTTTTCTCTGAGTGGTCAATGAAATTCAGGAAAAACAGCATCGGAGGCAATGTGCACAAACACCACTACTAAACAAACCCTGCACATAGTTCACATTAATGCATTTTTTTAATTTAAAGAAAAAGAAAATTAGCAGTATCTGCAAGCAATTCAGATTAAATTTGTTTTTGTTCTGTGAATGAACTTTATTTTAATAACTTTGGACGCCTTGGATCCAGGGCTTTAAAAAAAAAGATATTATATATATATATACTCTGTTTGATTAATTGTATGATCTTAATGAAGTAGGTTTTTCTTGTATTTTGGTATTATTACATACCCAGTGTATAATTCCTTTCTTCCAGTCCTTTCCAATTCACAACCCTGCAAACTGAAAGCACTGTTTCCAAGAATTCTGGGATGTTATATTGGGTTATTAGAAACTGTGCAGCAAACTAACTTTATTATAGCTATTCTTCAGTGCACCCACACCCACACTGGATCACTAGCTTCGTGACTTCTTTCTTACAACATTAAAACTTTGAGTAGGGTAGGGTTTTAGTTTCAACTTTTCAGTGAATTTAATAGGCAGTTGATTGTTAGAGCTACACATTTCTATGTTAAGGGTTCCTTGCATTTTCTCCATAAAATCTGAAAGCCTATATGGTGTTTACATTGCTCAGTTAGACTTAAATGAAGAGTACCTTAAGAATGAACCCTAAACTGGACATGGTGGCTCATTTCCATGCTCCCAGAACTCAGTATGCTGAGGAAGGAGAAAACCAAAATAAAAAGAAGAAAAGAAACAGGCTTCAACTTGTTACTAGTGAGAACAGACAGTTCCTAGTCTCCTGTGCTGAGCTCATGTGAGAAAGTTGGAGCTGTGCTTACAAATTAAACTTCTATTGAAATTCTAGAATGCTCAAAAAATCAGGACAATGAATACATATTCTATAACTTGGAGAGATGGCTTGGCAGAGGAGCACTGGCTGCTCTCCCAGAGGACCCAAGTTCTTCCCAGCACCCACAAGGTGGCTCACAACTGCCAGTAACTCTGGTTCCATGGAATCTGACACACTCTTCTGGCCTTGTAGCACTAGCACACATGGGTGCATGTGCACATACACACATAAAATACATAAAATATTAAGATCAAATAAAACTTGATATGAACGTAAATGAATGGAGACACACATTCAATGGAATGTTTATTTTTCCTCTCAAAAGCATAAAAGATTTGGCAGATAAACTGAGCTTGAAGATAGTTTATACATTGATTATTTGTGCTGCTCAAAGTTACTAGCATAACTAAATAGCTTGGGTTTTAGACTTTCTCACATTAGAAACGTTGATGATGGAATTATGAAAGAGTTCTGCTGCACATATTCTAATGCTACCACTATGTGCTTAATTTACCAAGCCCCTGTAAAATGACTTCATTGTGGGACTATTTCATAGAGTTTATCCATCCCTCTGATTGTCTGACATCCAGTTTCCCTTTCTAGACAATACTACTAAACAAGAAAGCACTGGATATGTAATAAGTTACTGCATTGCTTTGGTTGGGTAAAAGCAAATGTTTATATTTTTCTTATTTCTTGTACTCCTACCCGTTAACTCCTTCTGAGGTCAGAGCTACCTCAGTCTACACTCTATGTCTGTCATATTGTTAATGGAAACAAGGGGGTGGGGGTGGGGTGGGAAGGGTAAAATAGTCCTGCCATTGCCTACCAGTAGGAAATCCAAACAGAACACTCATTTGAGTAGCAATTATTTAATTTGCCCAGTCAAGGCACCGTGTTTATATACTATTTCACATTGAATTTGATTATGCCCTACAGACCTGGCTGGTCAAGGATTTGATATACACATATTGGCTTGGGATTCGAGCTTTCTTTTTTATTTAAATAAAAATTTATATATATATTATATATATACATATATACATGGCTATATCTGTATATATATTGGGTGTGTTTTAAAGATTTCTTGGCATGAGCGCAGCTGTTGCAATAAAATGACTGATTGGGAGGTAGAAGCACTGAATGACGTGAGGCGTTTTCAGTTGATGCACACATTTTCCTTTTCGTTTTAAATATACATTTGTACATTTGCTTTTGTTTTTTTAAGATAAAACATCTCTTACATTTATACTTTAAATACTCATTATTTATTGAGAGAAGGAAAGAATGTTATGTCTGACAGGATTTTTATTTTCTGCACATCTACAAAATGCTACATTTTTGGCCTCTTGCCTTTAGTAGACAGATTTGGGCAGATCTTATCTCCTTTGGCCATGTCAGATAATTCCTAAGTCTTAGAAGCAGGTGGTTTGTTTTGGAAATTGGAATGACTGGGGGAGGGGGGGGCGCATATTGGTTTTTTTGGAGTTTAGAATAAAAGTAAATTTTCCTTGCGGTGTATTCGAAACCCCCAGAATGCACTCTGTTGTAGTGCACTAGTGTCCCTTCAGATGCTATTTTCATTTAGCCAGAAAATTAGTCTCTTAATTGTGGCCTGAGTTACCCAAGCCCCAGTCTCTATAGCCAGTCTGGGTGGGGTAGAAAGTGGAACATGGTGTGCCTACAATTTTGCTGTTTTATTAATTGGTTATTTTCCCTTACCAATACTTAGGTGTGTTTTATTTGTTGGTTGTGGAGGTTGCTTGATTCCACTGTCAGATTTAGGGACTCTACAAAACCCCAGTAACTTTGAGGATGTTTTCTCCCTTTAACAAATTTTGTGTTATGAGGCAACAATAAATTGAAGGATAACTTCATGACTCTTAACTGCTGTTTTTGTCAGAATCTGAAAATGGATTTTTATTTGTGTCTTTATAGACATTAAAAAAATGAAACTCATCAAATAGAAAACAGAAGTTTACAGCAGCACCACTCCTTTTTGAGACAGAGTTTTTTACCACGTAGCCCAAGCTGGTTCTAAAGTCTAGATCAGTCAGCCTCCTGAGCGATGGGATTTCAGGCATGTGCCACCATGCTCAGCAAATGTGTATGCTTTTTCACTTAAATGGTTTCTTCTGAAGATGACTATTTGCTTCTCACTCTTTAAGAGCAAGAATCATCTAAGATGAACATGGACAATTCTGGAAGGGTTAAGGACATTACTTTCATACTTGTTCAGAAACAAAGCCAGTGTGTTACTGTAGTGAATATATAGAAGTACTTTGGCTCATTCTGTTTTCAGTGAGTCTCTGGGAAAAGGATAAAGGAACTGAGAATGAAATGTCGAGACTTACTCTCCTAATTGATAGTCACAAGGTAAGTCTAATAGCTGCCCTCTCCCGGATAATTTACAGAGTCCGATGTGACCAAAGAGCTATTCCTTACTAATTTTTAATTAAACAGAACTTGTAGCATAGGTTTCTAGTAGTAATGTTCAAGTGACAAGACACTATTATTAATGTCAATTACAAATATTCAACTACTCAGAATGTGTAAGAACTCATTTGGTATGGCATTAATGTGGGTTATTCCCTTCTCTCATCTTCCTTCCCTTCTGTTTCTCCCCACCCCCCATGTATTTATTCTTTTGCCTAAATGCAGAAGATTGATTCTGTTCTCTCTTGCTACTTGGATACATGATTCCACCAGACTCCCATGAGCTTAAGTGTGGGAGCTTAAAATTTAGTTCCTGAGTTTCCTATGATTGTCTTTTTTTTTTTTTTTTTCTTTTCCTGACCCCTTGCCATTCTGCAGTTTCCCTTTGACTTACCCAATCTGTAACAGTGACAGTTTGCTGCCTCTAAACAGAGCATTCAAATGAATTCGCTTAGCCAATGACTTCTGTGAAGTTGCCTTTTCTAATGGCGTTATTACTCAGTGATGCACAGATGTGGTATTTGCCCTACTGGCAGGCAAGCAAAGGTCTGGTAAAGATAACCTGCTATTTCTTTAAGGAGCGCCAAAGACTTGTGCTTTTACTCTTTTGGTTTTAGGGGAAATCGTAGCCATTTTGATTATGAAACCTGGTAGTATTTGTAAGTTGATTGTACTGTGTAGATGTCTAAAGTTAACTGTAAGGTTAGCTGGTTTTATAAAATGTAACGAAAATTCATCAGTTTCTCTACACCAGTTAATATCATCCTTGACAATATGTGTTTAAGAAACTCACTCTCCCTTTTGGGGATTAACTTGATGTAATAGCATCTTCTGTGTTTCTCTGTATTTTCACTTGTGCCTACAGGACAACATACTTTCACTATGGTCAAGTCATGGGGCTAGGGATTCTTCCCGAGCTTGAGGCTTGTAAGAAATAATTAACTGTAGTTATTATCTGTTCATCTATGTTCAGGGACAGCTTACTTTCACTAAATGGAATTCATGTGCTATTATTTATATGTACAAATGGTGATAGAATGAAATTACTCCATATTCTCCATTTGGGCTTTTAAAAATCAAGAGTTAAATATGTAAAATCTTTGTATAAAAATCATCTGTAATGATTTATCTTTTATTAAAAGATATGGTCTAATTAGTTTTAAGGAAAAATTAATTACCTTGCAAATAAACTGCAGTATTACACTATACACTCTTGCCCCATAAAATGTTCTAGTGTGTTAAAATCTTAATTGTTAATACATGTTTGTGGTGTCGCATGGGAATCTCATCCCCTGAAAATAGAGCTCAGATTAACCATCTTCATTGAAACAACTTACTCTATACCATAGAGTTGAACATGCAGTCTACTACTGTGACCTTTTTATCTGCATGCTTGTTTTGCAGAAACACATCCATGTCTACCTTGGACAGCTAAAGCTTTTATATTTATTTCTTCAGCTCACCTCTTTATAACTAACTGCTGAAATGACTTGCTGGGAGTGTTTTAGTAAATTTTAAGTTCTCAGTCACCTTTGCTGAGCCACTTCAGAGAGAGCTGTCCCCTCTTCCCCAAAGAAGGTATAATTTTTAATAAAACCTTTTTGTTACTTGAAATTTTAAGATTCTATTTCTGTAATAGCTAAAGGTGTTTTCATAAGTAACATATTCTAATTGATTAGTAATACTAGTGACATTAATAAAGAAGAGGAAACTGGCACCCCCAGGAGCAAGTACCACCTTCTAATATGTGTGTTCTTGGTAGGTAGGTTTTCAATGCTACACTGAATAAATTGGGTAAAGAACCCCATTGTGATAAAGGGACTTCCTTAGCACTTGGATAGTTCTTAGGGCCTCTGGATTCTAGACATTGAATTTCCCTGAACTTAACCTTGAACAAAATTTTCACAAGAAAGTAAGTTGTTGTAATGCAAGGTGGAAAATTTAAATCTTAAGAGAATATGTGTCAAAAAAATGTGTATTCGAAAAATGAAATCCTGTGGAGTTTGTTATCCTGATGTATGTTATTTAGTAGATAAGATGACTTTATTTTGTATTGAAGACTCACTTCCTGGTGACTCTTCATTTGGTTTTGTGTTTTGTCTTTAACACTAAGTAGGCAGATCACAAGTCTTTGGCTCCCATGTTAGGTTGTGCACTCAGAGTCATCTTAGAACTGGAAACTGTCGGGTGGTCCCACTCTAATGAGGGCACGAAAGGTCAAGAAATGGAAGCAAACAAACACTGGGTGGATCATGGTCTGGGTTTTTTGTTTGGTTTTGGTCTCCTTTTTCAAATTGTCATTTCTATAATTTATTAGTGTAGCCTGTCTCTGGTTGGCTGGCATTTCACAGTAATATCCAAACCACCCTATAACATTTTATTTCCCTATTTTCAGGCCTTTAAGGCTTTTGCTTTTCAGCTCTGCATTCCCTGTTTAGCTAAGACAGTCCTGAGAGATGTTCCCCTATGCATGTTTTTGCCTAACTTTGCACTCACCTTTGTTTTCCCACCTTCTGGATGTAAAAGAACTGAAAGAAAAAAATGGCATTCAGTGGTCATGGGCCTCAGTATCTTCCCTTTGTAATAAATCTGTGACTTTCTAGGAGTAATGCAGAAAGTGAACTGAGGTTGTAAACAAACCTTTCACCCACCTAAATGTTTTCCAGTTGTGAGGTTCCTCTTGGTGCGTGGTCTTTCCCTTCTATCCCTGCCGCCCTTCCCTAACTGTGATTAATTGGCCTCTTGGCTCATGCCAGTCTCCTGAGACATTCTGCAGTCATTATCACCTTTTTGGGTGGATTTTACTTCGTTTTTTGTTTTGTTTTGTTTTTAAAAAATAACTTTAACATTGATTCATATTTGCTTGGAATAGAGCTTGTGTAATTTACCAATCGTATTGATTGTATGTGATTGTGCCCTGCAGAGGTATACTTAACAAAAGTAATCTAAGTTAATAAAGGAGCCCATGAGATTTGAGTCAGAATAGAAATGACCTTGTAAAATTGCAGTTTCGGATAGTGTGAATCCCTCTCAGAATCAGTGGTACGGGAACTCCTATTTTAAGGTTTTCTTCCATTCCTCTATTTTTCATTCTCTCACCTCCTTATTCTTTTCATGTCATTCTCTACCCACCTGCTCAGATTTTTTTTTTCTAACTGAGCCTTAAGGTAACAGCTGGCTTTTAAATTAGTGAAGTTTGTGAAATTTTACATTTTCCAAATGTTTCCAGTTGAAAACAAAAGATGGGTTGAAATTCACCAACCCAGGACTAACTCCTTAGCTTCTGGCCAATGCTGAGGTTTTATTTGGAGGCATTAACTTCTGCAAGTTCTTTTTGAATAGGAAAAAAAGAACCTTGCTTGAAATGGAACATTCCCTTGTTTAATATTTCCATTAAAAACAAAACAAAACAGCCTTCAAAACAAATGAGGTGGAAGAAAAGAAGTAGGAGTATGTTTAGGGCTACTGAGTTCTGGATCTGAATGAGTACATATCCCACTGGTTGCATATTTTTGAGAAGATTAAGGCCTTTCTCAATTTTGTATTTGTGTGCATGTTGTTTATATAAAGATGCCACATTTTGTTAAAATGCCATTTCCTTTATTACCTTGGAAACTGACTCAGCCTCTTGTTGCTCCTAATTAGGGTTTAAGGCTCTTGTGAGTTGCAGATAAAAGGATTCATTTTAACAAAAAGAAGGAGGTGATTCACCTTTTGGATTGTAAATATATGAAATGTCTACAAGGTCTTTATCTGCTTTCTGTCAGCATTTATATTAAATGATAAATTAATGAGGAGGAACAATGTGTAGTCTTTTTCTTGTAAAGGAGCCTGTCATCTCACTCTCATCTTGGGGATTGTTGATGAAAAATTAAAAAGCTAATCTGTGTAAGTATGAACACTGGGAGTAATCCGTTTTCTCTAACATGGGAATTAGTGTGTACACACTTCAGAGAGAGGATTGGTTCTGAGATCACTAGGGCCAGTATTCAGTAAGCTGTCACGGCTTGACTTTCTGACTTCTCATCAAGCCAAGAGCATCTTTCTACTCAAGCATAATGATCTTCAAAGTACCTGTTTACTGACTCCCAATTATACTGAAGCCTTGTTGGTCACTCCTGGCAGAGAACAGATGTAAGTTTATATTGTCTCTTACAGACCATGCATTAATTAACAGTTTAGTGACATGAAGGGAAGTGAAAGAACTGCTTTCCCAGAGAACCAGAATTCCTAGCGTCTCCATTAGGCAGCTCAGGACCTATCTAGAATTCTACCTTGGGGAACCCAACACTGGCTTTCTTTCCTCAGTTTACATGCCCCCCCCCACACACACACACACATTTAAGGTCTAAAATGGGAAGATTAGTTATTACACATTTCAAAACATTTGTGAAATAAATGTAATAGGTGATGGGGGATGTCCCTCTGTATATATGTTTCTCTTATTGGTTGATGGATAAAACACTCTGGCCAACAGAGGCAGGAAGATAGGCAGGGCTGGAAGATGAGAATTCTGGGAAAGGTAGGCAGAGAGAGACTGCAAGGGAGTGCCAAGTAAACCTCCGAGTAACAAGTTCGGGCATTGTCTGGTAAGCCAAGACCACATGAAAACACATAGATTTATAGAAATGGGTTAATAATTAAGACAGCCAATAAGCCCTAGCCATTGGCCAACAGTTTTATTACTAATATAGCCTCTGTGTGCTTATTTGTGCCTGAAAGGTGGCAGGACCAAGTTGAAAGAAAAGCTCCAGCAACAAATAGGTTCTATTATTTAGCGGATACATTTATATACTTAGGAAAGATCAAGGGGATGTCTTTGTTCAGCTGATAGTAACAACACAATGTCTTTTAAAGGTTTATTTTTTATTTTATGTGTGTTTTGTTATATGTATATGTATGTATACCATATGCATGCAGTGCCTGTGGAGGCCAAAAGAAGGCATCAGATTTCCTGGAATTTGAGTTACAGGCAGTTGTAGTGTTGAGACTAGAACCCAGGTCCTCTGGAAGAACAGCACGTGCTCTTAGTGGCTGAGCTGTCTTTCCAGCCTCCATATTTTTTTAAAGATGCATAAACTGATCATGTTTGGAATTTACTTTGAAATAATTTCTAATGAAATTAATAGGCATCACCAGCAATGGAGGTGTTGTAACACCTATCAACAATTAGTAAATCGGAACCACCAGTATCTGACCTCAACAGGAGCCATAGTAAAGGAGTTCAGAAGGGATAAGATAGTAAGTACTGGAACCATGCTTGGAAGATGATGAAATCTAGAGAGGAAATTCCAAAATCAAGCCTGTCAGCCACTAAAAGTAGACCTGCCCTGATTGTAATATAAGCAAGAAGGAATTATCTGACTTGTTGGGCTAAAACTCACATAAACTAAAGTGAATTTGTATTGTGTACATAAATGTTTTATCCCAGTAACTAATCTAATGGTCCGATAATTAAATCATGCTTTCTAACCTGGTCAGCTATTAAAAAATGTTTTGCACGCCTAACATTTAAGAAATAGTCAGTGGTGGGGCATGCCTTTGGGAGACAGAAGTGGGTGGGTCTCTGAGTTCAAGGCCAGCCAGGGCCACACAGAGAAATGCTGTTTGGGGAAGGGGGGAAGGCAAGGCCCAGTACTTGGAGGCAGAGGAAGATAGATGTACCTTTGTGAATTTAAGGTCAAGCCTGGTCTGCATAGCAAGTTCTAGGACACAGCCAAGATTACATAGACCTGTTTCCCCACCCACAAACACTCCAGAGACAAAAGCGTTGGAGGCTAATTTACATTCCATAGTGAGTTCCAGGCCATGTCTCAAAACAAAAAAAAAAGTAAATTTATCAACTACTCAACTATTCCTGTAGTTTATTATGCTTAACAAAATGGCAGACAAAAGATGTGCCATCTGGGGCTGGAGAGATGGCTCAGAGGTTAAGAGTGCTGGCTGCTCTTCCAGAGGTCCCAAGTTCAATTCCCAACAACCACATGGTGGCTCACAACCATCTATTATGAGATCTGGTGCCCTCGTCTGGTGTGTAGATATACATGGAAGCAGAATGTTATATGCATAATAAATAAAATCTTTAAAAAAAAAAAAGATGTGCTATCTGCTCTCATTGAGCTGTAATTATGGAACTTGACACATGTTTTTAAACAGCTTCATCCGGTGATGGCTCACACCTTTATTCCCAGCCGCCAGGAGGCTGAGGCAGGTGAGCAGCCTGGGCTACATAGAGAGGCCTGGCGTTGGTGGCTCACGCCTTTAATCCTAGCACTCGTGAGGCAGAGGCAGGCAGATCTCTGTGAGTTCTAGGCCAGCCTGGTCTACAGAGTGAGTTCCAGGACAACCTCCACAGCAATACAGAGAAACCCTCCCGGGGGGGGGGGGGGGGGGGGGCTGGATTAAGGGGCTGGAAAGTTGGCTCAGTGGTTGAGAACACTGACTGCTTTTCCAGATAACAGTGTTTCTAATGTTTCTTGACCAAGCAGACCAAGCCTATAGTTATCTCAGTCTGTCATACCCCGAAACCTCCCAAGTCCAGTTAAAACCTAAGGGTGCCCTCTTGTACCCCTTTGTCTCTACACATGCCTGTCATATGTCTAGCCTTTCACTCCCTGGATGGTTAGGATGTACCTAGACTCAAGACATCTCTGCTTCCCCACAGTGGGAGGGCCTCTCTGTTTTTTTAAGCTGTATGAGTTTTTTTGTTTTATTTGATACATGTGTATCTGAGCCATACACATGTAGTGCCCAATGAAGTCAAAAGGCTGCATCAGATCCTCTGGAAGTGGAGTTAGACAGCCATGAACTGCCATGTGGGTGCTGGGAATTGACACCGGGTCCTCTGGAGGACCAGTCAGTGCTGTCAACTACTGAGCTATCTCTAGCCCTGGGCCTTAGGTCCTCCTTGTCCTTAAATGAACTTGGTGAGATTTTCTAGAACAGTCCCATGACTGGTCTACAGTCATGACAGCACACATGCTTGTCCCAGCTTTACCGTATTTCTTCCTGCTGCTTCCAGGGCCCACTCAAATCACCTCAGTGACTCTGGGGACTTTCTTTCACTCCCACTGTCTTTGTGCTCTGCTTTTCCTCTTCTCTGTGGTGTTCTCTTACCATCCAGCGCGTCTCAATTAATGTTCATGCAATGAGCTTTGACCCCGTGCAGCTGTCTCTTGTGCAACCTCTCACTCTTGCTTAGTATTTCTGTTAAGAAATGGTAACGCCTTAAAAAAAAAAAAAAAAAGTCTTGGTAATCTTTCCATTAAGGAAGTCTATCTAGTCCATCTGATAATTCAGCAAAACCCTTCAGAACCTGAACCTCTTAAAATATAAATGTTTATTGAATCCTAGAACATTCAACGCCCACAGCTGTGTGCACTGGACAAGTTCAATAAATATTTGCTGTTTGGTTTGATTTCCCTGAAACACAATGTGAACTTTCTAACTGTTATGAGGATTGAGGCAAATTCCAGTCACATGCTTCAAGACTCTGTGAAAAGGGGCCAATGTGATTATGTGCAGTTTGTCTTTTGATAAGCTTCATCCCACCTTTGTTATGGTCCTAAGATGCTATAATTACCCTAAAATCTTTTTGGAAATACAGAGGAGCTGGGGATGCCCTTGCTTTTATGCTATGTGTTGTGCCAAAGCTCCATGGAGAGGCCAAGCCTTGAGTTACTCAGTAACTACAGGAGAATCCGAGCTACTGTTTGCTCCTTGCCAAGGTCTTACTGTAGGGGCCAAAGACAAGAACACATAGCCCAGGAGATGAGGCAACAGGCAAAGGCCACATAAATTACCTTCCCATAGGTGTTACTACTCACACTGGAGACTGGTGGAGAAAGGAACTACTGACCTGAAGGAGATCAGAAAAATGAGACAGGAACCAAATGTGGTATTCTTTTCTCTTAATGCATTGTCAAGCCAACCCCTAACAGCAAAGAACTGGATGACCCATGCATGCTTGTCAATCTCTCCCCATGTTAGAAGCCAGCAAGATGGTCCAGTAGGTAAAAGTGCTTTCCATGCACACCTAACCTCAAGTCCATTCCTGGGACTTCATAAAAAGCCAACTGCAGTGGCACACCCCTGAAACCCAGTATTCCAATGGTGAGATGGGAGGCAGAGACAGAATTGCCCAAAAGTTCAAGGGCAAACAAGCCTGGAATATGCAGCATGGCAAAAACAACAAGGTAGAAGGGGAGAATGGACTCTCTAAAAGCTGTCCTCTAACCATACAGGTGCCATAGTATACACACAGCTGCACACATATCACACACTGGAGTAAAAGGCTCTCTTTAGAGTTTTGTTCTTAGTGCTGGGGATCAAACCTTACAGAGTATACACTCTACCTCTGAACTACTTCCCCGAGCCCTTATAAAAAGCTTGCCTCCAATTCCGGATACGACTATTCCAAAAAATTTAGAATGCTTTTTATTTTATACAATTATTAAAATATTTCATGAGAAGGTGAATACAGTTGCAAATTAGTTTGCCTGGCATATAGCGCCCCCACCTTTTTAAATTTTTTTTTTTTGAGACGGGGTTTCTCTGTAAAATAGTTCTGGCTGTCCTGGAACTCACTTTGTAGGCCAGGCTGGCCTTGAACTCACAGAGATCTGTCTGCCTCTGCCTCCCTAGTGCTGGGATTAAAGGTATGCACCACCTTTCTTGAACCAACCTAAGATGAGCCAAAAGAGAAGAGATTTGGGATCACATAGTCCAGTAGAAGCCGAGGGGAGCTATGTGTGAGAGCTGAAGCCAGGCTGGCAGGAAGGACCCCCAAAGAACTG